TAGTGTGTATTGTGAGTATGTTATGTCTGAATGGTATTGGTATTTCAAGTGTTTGCAGTTTTTCTTCAAGAAGGTCATGGCCGATTCAAGCGATCCTGATCACGCAGTATTTCTTGAACATTGAACGAAATGGGTGCGCAAAGTCACTAGTAAAAAATTAAATAAGTTAACAGTTTACATTTATTGTCTTCCCTTAAAAACTTAACACCAATTATTTTTTAAAATGGAATCATGCGTTTTGATACCAAAAGAGTTATCATTAACCAGAATATCCTTACCGAATAAAAAGAACGAATCCGTTTTAACTGTGTGTGCAACTACCAATATAAAAAAAGGAACTATAATTTATCCGTTTCAGGGTACTATTCGTACCGATAAAATTGAAAACCTTAAGCATCCTGATGAAAATGATGTAAGTGCATTTCCACAGCTCAAAATAATATAACTGTGCATTTTGTGTCAGCCTTAATAATCATTCATTATTTATGTAAGTACAATGTATGATTAATTTACATTTCAAAATGTAAATAGGTCTGATTATAATTGTTTTGTGCAAACAGGTTTTGGTAAATATAACTTTAATTAGAAACTATAAATTAACTACCTTTCATTCGAGAAACTTGATTCGTTTCGTTTTAACGATCAAAACTCAGAATTACCAGAGTTTTGATGGTAACATAACATATAACATAACGGTAATTTATATAGACAATTTTATATGTGATTGACATTATAATCAAAAACATATTAACGTCCGAAACAGTAAAATGCCTTAATTATTATTTGCTTGTAATATAATTGTAATAGTGACATAAATATAATAAAAAAAAGGTTAATATTTTTCTATATTTCAAAACCATTTATGTGGTTTTATTAATTCATAACATATCAGTCAAAGTTATTTTGGTTTTATTAATAGAAATTTTGCAATTCATACTTTCTCTTCATATATAACTTATAATTATATATTACATAAAACATATATGTCCGCAGCAATGGTGCGTTTCGCTACGTAGAAAGCCATTGTGAGACACCAGGGCTACCCTTGGCTACAAGAAGTTATGTTCTTTTCTGAAATAATTTGCGTCGGTCAAAGTCAGCTAATTCTGCGCAGCACCGCTCTTTATAATTATTAGCTCAGCACAGTAATTGTTATTATTATGTATGCTTATTGTATATAGCATTATATGTATTACAAACGTATCTTAACTTTCTGAAAATATAATAAATAAATAATATACAATTATATATATTACATATTATGTACTACTGTCATAATCTCAATAACACAATTTATTAAGAGATCGGAACTTGAGATAATACATTTCTTCGATTATGGTTATACCGACAACTATTGTGGAGGATGCATATATTGTTTAACATTATAAAAATTATGTTCATACATCGCTGCTTCAAAAATGTTTTCGATAAGCATGCATCTAAATACTTACGTATATAGTACGAACGATGAATTACCTTTCTAGTTTTCTCAGGCTTGCGGTAAATAACTGCTGAAGCATTAAAGAAAACTGTGAGAACTTCTTTAAAATTCATTGTGTCTATCTTTAAGAGTTCCCAACGTCATGGGAGAGTGATCACCCTATGGACTTTAGAAAATAATGTTGTGGAATTAAAGTCGATATACTTACGTATATATAACGAGTGTATGTGATTATGCTTTTGTAGAATGTTTATGTATGAATGTAGATTTTTACGCATTACTTTTTTAGTTGTAAGGAAAAGGAGGATAATATAAAGCAAGTAAGACTAATATGTTATTTACATATTCTAGCTCTATTCTAAGTAGTCTATAAGAATCGAACCGAATTTCGAGTATATAACTTGACAATCTTTTGAGTAAGTATGTATTTATTGTTTCTAAAATTGGTGCAACAGGCAAAAATATATGTCTAGATTGATCAAAAACATATACACAACTTCGACAGAACGTCGGTTGAATACAATTCCATAAAATCTTTTTGATTTTTAAGCCCATTCAAGAATTCAAAGAGCATATTGTTTTTATGCAATGTCCGTCTTGCTATTCGTCAAAGTAATTATCGGCAATAGTTGTAGATACATGTATATGCCAATGTAAGTATAAGTATTTAAGCATTTACATATATATGAAGAGGTCTTGGAAGCTTATAAGATCGATGAACTTCAAATAGTTGGTTATACCGAACACTTTTAACTAAAAATATTAAAAAAAAAATTATCGATGTGAATCAACGCTTTCAAACCCTTTCCACAAATATTATTGAAAATGTTAAAATTTTGTACGAGCATAGCAAATACATTCCAGATTTTAGTATTCTCTTCTTTCAAGAGATAAGAAATTAGTGAACAAATTTTAATTTTTTTGAATATATACAAATATATTTGAGAGAGCGTAGAGTAAGAAAAACAAGTAAAAAAATCTCTTGTCGGGGTGACAAACTAGGAGATACCCTGAACTCCGATCGATCTGCCCTTTTAAATATATGCTTCTAAAATGTTTGAGTATCCAATTTCACAATCAATAGCAAGTTAGTAAAAAGAAAATGAAAAAGAAGAATGCCACCACTTTGGGAAAAAATTGAAGAACAACAACAATAAATTTCAAATATAAACTAAAGTAGCAGCTGACAATTCCAACACTTAATATAAAAGAATATAAAAGAGTTTGAATGAATATGTGTGCAACTTTACATCAGTTCTAAAACTCTTGCTGTGTCCACAGATCTCCTCGCTGTTCTGTCATGCCCCAGTGTTTTCATACAATAATAAAGAATATTATTTTTGTTATACTCTACGCAAACTTTTTTAATCAAAGGGTTTGCCACAAATATACATATGTTACACTCGATATTTATATATAAGATATTTAGAGCTTCAGCTCGGCAAAGGGTTCAGAATGCAACGTATTCGACACAGTCTTTTATCTTAACTTTTATCCCAGTAACTCATTAATAATGTTATTTACAGATGAAAAATTATGTTCAAATTTTTGTAACAAGCAGAATGTATTCAAGAATTTTTGATTAGGGCTTAAATTTGTATATTTGTTAATCTATGTATCTGTATATATATATATATATATATATATATATATATATATATATATATTTATAACCTTGCATCTTTTCATACATACATAAAACAAGAGCTATTACAAATAAACAGGCTATAGATGTATGTTTTTCAAATTTTAACAAAATAATATTTTTTCACTCACGATTCGAACAAGAAACTATAAATTGTCAAAACAGTAAAGAAAAAACAATTTATTTGAATAACTAGATGGATTTTCTTAATGAAACTGACATATAATAATTATGGCATCCATATGTTAGTATTTGCTAAAACACCAATTTCTACTGTTTGAAATACGTATTTTGTAAGTTTTTGGGGAAATGTAGTCAAAACATATAAAAATACACAAACCTACAGAGTCTCTGAAGTCTTCAACATTTACGGTGTTAAAGCTATGTTAAAACAAGTATGAAGGCTCTAGTCAGGGAGCCCGAGAAGCAGATACCCTGATCCCAGTTCTATCTGCGATTTTTAATATTTTCCGTAGTTTGTATTGAGTATGAAACAAAAAAAAAAAAAAACAAATAAAAATCGACATTACGATTTCAAGATTCGAACCAACAATTTCTACGCAACGCGTACCAACTTTACCAACACCGCCAATTCATAATTAAACAAGTAAGAAAGCTCTAGTCGGGGTGCCCGACTAGGAGATATCCTGATCCCAGTCCTATCTGCGTTTTTTAATATTTTTCGTAGTTTGTATCGAGTATTAAAAAAAAAAGAAAACAAATAAAAATCGACAATTGCGAGACCAGGTTTCGAACCCGGATTATTTGCGCAACGTGCACCAACTCCACCAACACCGTCACTTCATAATTTAAAAAAAAAAAATAAAACAATAAAAAATTTTTCATCCCCACCGGTCTCGAACCCCGGACCAAGCTGCATACGAGCGTCGCCTCTACCAACGCAGCCACTGAACATAAGTAGCAGCTAATAATTCAGCACAATTCAAGCGCAATTTCGATTCTTCGAATAGAAAAGAATACACGCATTTGAATGTATGTGTGCACACGCACAGGAAAAATATGTGCGCGTGGCGCTGCTGACATGTGCTTTTGCAAATTGGCCAAACGTTTTGTTTAATAACTTCTGTTTTTCTTAATGGATTTTAATGAAATTTTCAGCATATGATCTACATATCCTATTGGCTTGGTTGAGATGCATACGATTTCACATAATGGCCCTAGTTCCAACTAAACTTAAATTTTAAGAATTTGGGGGAATTTGGAGCCGGTATCCAAAATCCAACAAAAATCAAAATTGCATAAAATATACATAAAACTAAATACAAAATGGCTCTAGCTCTTAAGACGTTCGAAATATAATTTATTTACTGCATTTCAATAAGGTTTTTTTTCGATAACAATTAAATGCGAATAGTTATAGAATATTTGAAACAAACTTGACCTAGCTCTTATAGATGCTGAGATCCACGCGTTCACACATACGGACAGACGGACGGACAGGGCTCAATCGACTCGGCTTGTCGTCCTGATCAAGAATATATATACTTTATGGGGTCTGCCACGACTCCTTCTGCCTGTTACATACAATTGCACAAAACCATTATACCCTGATTTCCCATTTTCAATGGGATCAGGGTATAAAAAATTACACACTCGTACAGGGGTATAAATAAAAAATTTCAAGTCTCTAGCTTTTGTTCACATGATATAGCTATATCGATTCCAATCTTCGTAATGATCAAGAATATATATACTATATGGGGTCTACCTCCTTATATGATTATAAAACTTAAATTTATAGAATATATTGGTCCAAAGGCAAAGTAATGGATGATTTATACCTTTATATTACACAATGTTACCTTATAATTTCATCAATTTTTTTTAAATTATTTATATATATGTATATATCTTTCTTTTTAGTTAAGATATCGGCTTGGCTTATATCATGAAGTTTCATACTGTTATGGAAAGCACGTTGTCCATTGTAACTGGATAAGATTTTTAAAAATTGCCAGTTCATTCGACTGTAATGTAAATCTAATTTGCTCAATGGTTAAAGGAGATCCATTATATGAAGTTATAAAACCAATCAAAACTTATCAGGAATTAGTTGCTTATTACATCCCAGAACGACCAGAAGAGAGTATACTTTTGACTGTTCGTTCCACGTTTTATAGAAAAGCTATGGACGCAATTCTACAGGGTATTTAACTATGAAGAATAATCAAAAATTAGTTTTTTATTTTTGTGTTGCTTTTTCAGATACTCCCCTTGATTTGTCACTAGCATTAATGTATAAAACACCAAATATGCCACTATCTCCTCCCGTAAGTGAGGACGAACAAAAGTCAATGTTGAGCGATTCCTCTGGTTCCTTATTATCACTTAATGACAGCACAATTGATAACTCGACTACATCATATGCATCGATGGGAGAAATAAATAAATACTCATTTGAGAATATTACTCCAAAATCTTCCAAAAAACAAGTTAATATTAAAAGTTACCAATATGGAGACAATAATACGAAGAAACGAATGGGAAAAAGCGAAAGGTCCTTACTTCCCTGCGAAGTCTGCACAAAAGCCTTCGATAGGCCAAGCCTACTTAAGAGACATATGAGAACACATACGGGTAAATTTTTGTATATATACGTATATAAGTCATATATAATACTTTTAATTATAATAATAATATATATATAATATATATCAGCGTCAAACTTTGAAAACAAATTATTTTATAAATAAAATTGAAGTTTGCAGTTTTTAAGCCAGTTAGGTTCCATACATGAAAATAGTTTTTGGTGACGGACATTTACACAATCTTACAGTCCTTTTTATGGTATAAGAGTACTATATTCCCTGGAAATTGTAAAAGTAGCTTATCTCTTGCAAAAATTGGGAAATCGTATTTTCAATTTTACTATTGTTTCAAGCAATATTTAATAAATAATTGAAAGAAATATTGTATTAGTATTATCTTAATAAAATTTAAAACATAAATGATTTTTCCACGTACTATTTATATTTGTTATATACATTTTTTTATAGGGGAAAAACCTCATATTTGTATGGTTTGTGGAAAAGGATTTAGTACTTCAAGTTCTTTGAATACTCACAGGTAGAAGAATTTTATGCACCACATTTCTAAGAAAATAACTAATGTATTACATTTTATTGTAGACGAATCCACTCAGGTGAAAAACCGCACGAATGTCAAGTATGCGGTAAAAAGTTTACTGCCAGCAGTAATTTGTATTACCATAGGATGACACATATCAAGGTAATATTTTTATTATATCTGAATACACTAATGCCATTGACCCCCTAATAGATAGGAATACAATACTTTGACTTGTAGTATATTAAATTTGATCTTTAATAATTTGAAATAAGACAATATAGTGAACAATATAGAATATACAAAATCTACTCATTAAATGCCCCATAGCCAATTGGATGTTTCAATTGTTTGTGGTATTTAAGCTACTTTAAAAAAAAAAGGAAACAAAAGTATTGATTCTTATCGATGATAAGAAAGTGGATAAGTTAACGAATACTCAGGAGGAGTATATATAGAGGAGTATAAAATATAACTTTCGAGTCTCTAGCCTTGGTGGATTACGAATCGCTGTGTTGACACAACGAACAGACGGATTGGATTGACTCAGCTCGTCATCCTAAACTTTATAAGGTCTTTAACGCCTAATTTTGTCTGTTACAACTATCCCCTTTCATTTTAGTTTTGAAGCTTGACTTTTCAAACCAAAACTCAACATGTATAAATACATCCCTTTTTTCGCTATTGAAGCTAGAGACTTGAAATGTGGAACATATACTCCTTACCCGATTTGCAGAAAATACTTAATCGAATATGTTATATCAAAAATATATGCCGAATATATCTACGTCCATTTGAAGTGTGGCAAATTGGGTAAAACTGTATCTTCACCAGTTTTAGAGCTGGAAATTGAAAATTTTGCATGTAAATTACTGTTATTATTAGATTATCTAAAGAAAAAGTTATATGTCCCATCTGATTATATAGTATTTTGTACAAATTCTGATATATTTTAACACCATTGGTGTTAGAGACTTTAAACTTGGAATATATACTCTTGAATAGAACCCGCGTCAAAAAATATACAGATTATATATAATACGCTCATAAAGGAGAGTTAATCCTACAAAGTCAACATTTTCAACAGTTAGAAACTAAAAAATTCGGTTGTTGAGTTACTAACAACGTTCTCTGTCGAAAAATTTGAAAGCCGTGATACATACAAAATTTCCGGTAATTTCCCATTGTGAGAGTTAAAGCCTCAAAACTTTACAGTTATAGGAACATAGAACTTTACAGTTCTATGGATTTAGCAAACAATTTACGCCTACAGGTACAAATTTAAAATTAGACAACTAAGATGTTAATAGTGTGGCTGATCGAAAATACTAAAGATAAAAATAAAAAACATTTCATCAAAGTATAAACGTCTAAGAAGTTTACAGGCTATCCGTCACATTATTTCAATCTCTTCCGGTTCTATAATAACCCATATTCTTTCGTTTTAGGCCATAATCATTTACCATTATCCTCGCTCATTACTAATTTAAAGAAAACCCATTTTTCATTTATATCAAAATGTTTTTATTTATCGTTTATAATAAAGGAAAAACCCCACAAGTGTAATTTATGCGCTAAGTCATTTCCAACTCCTGGCGACTTAAAGTCACACAAGTATGTTCACAGTGGATCCTGGCCATTTAAGTGTTCAATTTGTTTCCGTGGGTTTTCAAAGCAAACGAATTTAAAAAATCATTTGTTTCTGCATAGTGGTAAGTACTAGTTAAATTTTATTAATATTGTTTGCTTATTAGAATGAATTATATAAGCGAAATTTATTGTAATTTATCAATAAATATCATAGTTAATAAGTTTGTCTTATCCCAGCAAACTAAAATGTAACTAATACTATCTTTACTTCAAAATGTTTTCTAATTTAGGAATAAATGTTAAAAAATCGAAAAGATCCAAATTAAATGTTGCTAATTGAACGATTCACCAGTAGGTCGCAGATCAAGTTTGTTTCCAATAGTCAAAAACTTTTCTGTTAGCAAGAATTCGACTAACATCCATATTGAACTTAAGCTTTTGCTCAAATCACGCATGCTTTAAAGCCTATCACGTATATTACTTTTCGGTATACTCAATAAGTTACATTAATATTACTTTTAATTTTAGAAGCATCAGAGTGTCTGTATGGTTTCTATATTGATTAGTTTAGTTATTTAGTTATGTTATACGAATTTATACAATATTATGTTTTTAATCAGTTGTTATTTTCTTAATCATTGATTTTTTGCTCTGTGATATGTTTATATTTTTATTGCAAAATTCAGTTTTTTCACAATCATTATACCCTGAAAATTGGAAATCAGGGTATAATGGTTCTGTGCAAATGTATGTAACATGCAGGAGTAGGCGGGCACACCCCAGAAAGTATATATATTCTTGATCAGGACAACAAGCCGAATCGATTGAACCCTGTCCGTCTGTCTGTCCGTCCGTTTGTCCGTTAGTCCGTATGTGTGAACGTGTCGATCTCAGCATCTATAAAAGCTAGAGACTTTAAATTTTTGTAAGTCCGTGAATAGCACGGGCATATCAAGTTTGCTTCATATATTCGATAGATATTCCCATTTAATTGTTATCGAATAAAAACATGATCGATATGCATCTAATAAATTATATCTCGTACTCTTAAGAGCTAGAGCCTCCAAATCTTGTACTTAAGTTCAAATTCGCCACTCTTTTGGCAAGCAGTGCAGTGACTGCGTTGGTAGAGGCGGCGCTCGTAAGCGGTTAATCCCTCTGTTCGAGCCTGGTGACGATGAGGCTTTTTTCATTGTTTTATTTTTTAATTATGAAGTGGCAGTGTTGGTAGACTTAATGAGCGCTGTGTAGATTGTGGATTCGAATCTTGGTGTCGTAATGTCGATTTTTATTTGTTTTTTTTAATACTCGATGCAAACTACGCGGGATATTCAAAAACGCAGATAGGGCTAGGAGCAAGGTACAAGGTGTATCTCCTAATCGGGCACCCCAAATATAGCTTTCTTACTCGTTCTTAATACATCTTTATTTAAATAACATGCAAATTTATTTCTGGGATTTAATGTTAGTGTCCTTCTTTTTATCTATACATATACATATTTTGCTAACTTATTTAATCATTTTGTTTATTTAGGAGATAAACCACATGGCTGTAATATATGTAAGAAGAGGTTTGCATTAGCTTGCAACCTGCGAGCACACATGAAAACTCACGATGGTAAGTGATAATAAATATGTCAAATAGATAAACAAGCTAACTCTGGGAAAAACTAGTACTCAAATTATTTTACCTTTTTTATGTATATGTATTAATCAGTTATTAGCATATATTCACAAAAAAGCACACACAGCAGCTGGGCTAAAGCTGCAGAATTGGCTATACATATATAGCTTTTCTTCTAGATAAACATTTTCAATCAAACATGATATTTTTATCTAGATGTGTGTATTTGCCATAAGGTATTAGAAATTCAAAATATACAAAATGTATGTATTCAATTCAGGAACCCCCACAGAAAATTGGATGTTTCCAACTCAATTTGTATGTCTGTTCGTCCTCTTATATTCAAAAAATTGAATCGAAAAAAAAGCTGTCAGCAGGTTTGGTAGAGGCAGTGGTCGTTGCCGAGAAGTTCTGTGTTTAACGCCAGAAGGTGACGATTTTTTTTTCGGTGTTGGTAGAGTAGTCAGGTTGGTTGAAGTCCCAACTAAAGCTTTATTACTTGTTCTTTATATGGAAATATTATATTGTATTAAATATTCTATTTAGGATGAAAGCAAATTAAATGATGACTTTTAAATAACCTATTTACATTTTCCCAGTTTAAAGCTACTAAACCTTGACATTTGACATAGGCAATATTATTTCAAGTAAAAGAATCTCTTAAATTTGATTTCAGTGTCATATTTGAACCTTGAACATCTTCAAGTTTGTTGAGTTTATTTATTACCAATAGGTATCAACTGTATGAGTGAAGAATAAAAATAATTATAATAAGAATAATAAATAATCAAATATAATATTTTTGGTAATAATAGGCTTATATTAATATTTTTCCTTATAGGTGATATGCAAGACCAATGTATTAGATGTGAAAAGCCGCTTATTGCTGAAAATATTATTTTACACAAAAGAAAAATTGCCACTAAATGCATTAATCTGGACGATTCAACGGATGATGGAGGGAAATCTGGATTACCATCAGAAGGACGAAGTGTGTGTACCGAAGAAGAATTTGACTCATCAAATGCTGCAACAGAGTACAGTGAAAAATAATATGTACGAACATTTTTAATTTTATTTAATAAGGAACATGTCTAATTTATTGAAATACATTATTCATTCCGTAAATCATTGTGACCAAATATTAAAATTGTTAACACTAACAAACTCAACATAAAAACACTTATTTAGGTTAATAATTTATATATCCATTAAATCAAAATTTGTATACATTAAATAGTGAATCTACGATTTTCTTTTCTTTTGATTGCTTCAGAAAAAATTAAAAAGAAAAAAGACAGAAAGCGGAGTAAGAAAAATTTGAGTTGGATAACACCTACAAACGAGTAAGGCTAAGTTGACTTTGCTGTTGACCGCAATCAAGAATTTATGTACATACAGTTTGTCAACAAACTCCTTAAATTTATTAACCCTTGTTCAAATTAACGAAACTTTTTAATGTTTTATTGATTAATAATCTATTTTTTTTCTTAAATTATGAAAAAGATAGCAAAACTAAAAATGTATAAATTAAATAAACAACAAAAACTAAAATTACATTTTTTTTCGAACTGTCAAGAAACTGTTTGCAAATTGCGTCTGTTTCGATCTAATTCTTGGAAAGAACTATACTTTACATACAAGCTTATTTTTGAATTTTTTTCAATTTTACTGTAAAATCTAATACTTATCTAAATTATTTTAATTACTTTAATTTTTAAAATGCCTGGCAAGAGATGAAGCCTTGATATGGTCCAATTGATTATTTACAATCACAAGTTGGTCAAATCTGTTCCAGAATTAATTGAGGAAAGCAATTTACAATGTCGGCGAAAGAGAAAAATCTACTTCCGAGCAAACCGCTTAATAATGTGTAAGATGTAATGTGTAATGTGTAAGATTGGCCAGTTAGGAAGAATGTGTCTTAGATGTGTAACATGAAACAGTTCGCCAGGCCATCAAACAATAGTAGTACTATACAGTATTAATCCATCCAGCGTCCCAATCTGAACCCCATTAAAAATGACTGGGCCTACCCAAAGAAAAGAGGGATTCAGAGAAAACGGAATCTAAATAACCGCACACAGTACAAAACTGATATCCTAGAAGACGTAAAAATCCCTGTTAATAAAGTTGGTCCATTCCATGAGATAACGCCTCCAGCACGTATTATAGGCTACGGAAGGTCATACTAAATATTAAAATTAGCATAATTTCTTTACTACTTAAGTTAAAAAATGAATAATTTTTGTTTATGTTGATTATTTTTTTACGCATTTTTAGTTTTGTTATTTTTCCGATATATGCTGCGCAAGTTCTATATTAATAGGTATATAAGCATTAAGAAAAATTCGTTTAATTCATGAACTTCGGAGGTTATAGGTATTTTAGGTTCTTCGCTTCGTATTTACTATTTAAACGACCCTGCAAATCTTCTACATCATATTGCAAAAACTTTTTCTTAATTATTGACACTGTTAAGTAATATAAGATGGTTCAAATTGAATAGCGCCATCTTGTATAAAGCTTATATTATATTATATAAATTATATGATTTAAGTGAAAGATGGGAAATTTAGAGTTTCCACCAAAAACCATCAGCTCTTTTCCACTAAGCGCTAAGTACACGGCAGTGATTGTATATATTTGCAATAAAGTATCTTGTACAATATTTGGCTCTCCTTTAAATGACTCTCCTCCGTTGTATGAACAAATGTCGCATAAACTACTAACTACTAAGCTTTGCATGGCTTTTGTTTCATTCCATACACATTTATGGTGTTGTTCCAGTGTATCAGTTATGAGGAACGAAATAATTTCGTAGTTTATACAACCTCGTGGTTACCTAGAATGCACCTAATTTGTTTGATTGCTCGACAAAATGGAAACTTTAATATAGATAAAATTTTATCTGAGTATGCTGTCTGTGTCATTTCCGATTACATGAGTCAAAATTATTAGCGGTCAAGCCAGTTTTATTTGACTAGCCAGCTCCGTAAGACACCAAAAAATCGTTAAAAGAGATTAAAACGTCACGACGCAGAGTTACGCTTATTAAACTTCGAAGTGTTTTGTGGGACATTACAAAGCCCAACAGGCATAACAGCTTATAAGTAGAAATAAATTAACAATGAACTGCATAAAATATGCATCCGCAACAAAACTACATCAGACCGCCGACTTTTTAAGCATAAGCGAACATTTCCTGATACATACTAAGCCGACTGAAAAAGATCAAGAGCTTTGGGACTCTATCACGCATAACTCAAGCTTTTGTCCAACGCTTCATATATCAGCTTTTCAATTGCTGGCGAAACTGTAAAATGTCGCTGCTTAATTGGAGTTCGCCCGGCGAAATTAAATTCTTAAAAGAGAAGAGTTTTTCGACCTAAATCTAGGACGTGATCTTCTGTTATGGCTATTATAATAATTGGGTCAAACAATTAATTATTAAATTTAAATCTTCGGTCACAAATACTTTGAATATACTTTGATAACTTTCAATATTCTAGTCTCATTTCTAAATTTAATCTCAGTGGTAATTAAAGGTTTAGAGCTTGTAAATGTAAATGTAAATGCTGTTTCCCTATGCGACCCAAGATTAAGAAAATTAAATTGTGAAGATCTCGCACATTTTCATCAATGGGTGTTTGAATGGTTATTGCATTTATTGCACAAAGGCTTATAATTGTCAGGCTTACCACAACCCTAACAATATACATGACTGAAATTTTTGGATTGCGTTCGTCCCTTTCTTAGGTCTCCATTTGCCATTTCTTTTACTGTGCGACGTGACGGACATAGGACGGAGTATTGACGGCTTGCCAACGTTCTGCATACAAAGTTTGTTTGTGAGCTACCCTCTTTAATTGCTCATAAAGAAGTTCGTGTTGAGTCTCTGCGAGAAAATTAGTGCAAACAATTTCGAAGTGGAAAAACTCCACTGGCTGTAGCCAGTGTTACCGAGTTACCGAGTCAATATCATAAATGTGTTTTTTGGAAGTTGAATGAACATTTTATCCATTATTGTTTGTCGTTCGCAGGAATACCAAGCCATAAGCGATTCAAATTCGCACTAAGGCTATCCGCTCAGTATTAATTGTTTGCGAACAGGACATTCTGTAGTTTTTTGCAAATCAGCTCACTGTCGTGTTTGCTCTAAGCGTCATCACACCATGCTGCATACATATAGTCCTGAGGCTACTTAATCTGCATCAGAGCTATTACCAGCAGATCATAGGCTTATTTCGTCTCAGTTCTTGTCTGTTAATCATTCTAGTATTGAATCAGATCAAGTTCTACTGGCAACTGCTGTTGTTAAGATAAAGAATCATTCAGGATCATATTAGTTAGCCAGAGCCCTCTTAAGCTTCGGCTCTAAGGATAAATTTATAACTGAAGAACGAGCCAAGCAGTTAAAACTGAAAAAAAAAAACAAAGAAAGGGAATTCAGTTGTTGGGTATTGCTAATTTTCAGTCATCTGTTCGTCACAGAGTTCAAACATTAATAGAATCACGAACATATGGCATAGTAGATTTCGATTTATGACTGATTTCGGTATATCAGGGTCCATATATCGCATAGATTTGCTGCTCGGTGCTGATGTATTTTTTTAAGTATTAATAGAAGGCCGAATAAAGAGAGCTAAAGGTAGCCCAACATTACATTACACATTACACATTACCTACAGCCTTTGAATGGATTGTGCTTGGTCGGTGCCGAACGAGTGAAACTGTAGCCCAGTCGTCAACTTTAATAAGTGTTGTTGGCGATTAGAGTTGGAAGAAATACACTCAATCCGAATTTGTATACCCCAGAACAACAGATGTGCGAGAAGTAGAGTGGTGACTATAGAAGTAGAAGTAAAGACTATTTGTCAAAACACCTCAGGTTGGCTAGAGTGTTGTTGCCATTTAAATCGAGTCGAAATTGCCTACGCATAAAATAAAGCCAAGCGACGTTTCATGGCTCTGGAAAGAAGAATGTGAAAAGAAGATGACATTTGGCCTATGAACATTGCCTTCATGAAGGAGAATCTGGCCTTGGCTCATATGAGCCCAACTGACAATCGAATTCCGAGAAAGTAGCATTACTTTTTTTTCGACATCGTACTTGGGTTGCTACCCCAGACATAGCTAAAATGTACTGTCAAATTAAATTAAATTGTGTGGGGGGAAAACCCACTGATACGCCAAAAATTTTCGTTCGAACACAGTAACGAATGCGCCAGCTACTGTGCCCTTCTTGGCAATTCGATGCTTAAAACATCTGAACGACCTGCATGCCAGCTGCTACGGGATCCTTGGCCCCAAATTTTTTATTATTCCAAATAATCGTAAATCAGCGGAGTGGATTTCTGTGGCTCAATTTTTGTATCACTAGGACTTCGTCACAAATTGCCTACTAAAATGTATATTGCCAGATTTGTATGCATTACGTCGGAAAGCTGTCCATATATAATTAGTTACCGACTTAACTACTAGTACATTTCTAATGTACTTATCCGTATTCACTGGTCGAAGTGGCCTTGTCAAAAAGCTCTATTGCGACAATGCCACCAGCTTCGTGGATGCTGCACGCATACTACAGGAGATATTGGACAAATACAGCGCACACAGCTGCCATACAAATGTTTACTGAGGAACGGGGAGTGGAATTTATTTTTTCGGAGAGTATACCTTTATGCTGCATTTATTATTTACTTTATAATCACATATAATTAAGATATCCCTTATATTAGAAACTATACTAGTAAGAGTAAGGATATCTACCATCCACATTGTTCTATACACGCAAATTACAGATAAAAAGAATCCACTAATTATTAGAGATTCACGACAGAAAATATAAACTATTTTTTCAGCGTTGACATGTTTTGATTTTTGCGGCCTTCCTTTTTATGTAGCGTATGCTAAATTTTAGTAAAATATAAATTAAGTGCTACAAAATAAATAGACAATCTTCTTTACGCATTATTTTACATCGACGAACAAATATTATTATTATAGTTAAAAGGCTGAATCCTAAACACTATATTATAATTAAATTATAATAAATTAAATTATAATTAAATTTATTTAATATATTAAATTTCAAAATGATTTTTTAAAAATGAGAAATTTTTGATATCAAATATTCTACTTAGACGTATTGTGTTTGACTTACGGAAAGTCATATCTAGAAAGGGCTAAGAATGCTAATTGCATCGAAGTCACAATGCCGATATTTGATATGAGAGTAAAGAGTTTATGTTATTTTAAACGTAACTTACAACCTAAAAAAGTAATGGTAAATTATAAAATTAATAACTTTCAGAGAATTAAATAAAGTTTCAAACAATTAATTAGCTCATAGCATTTGAAATTTAATTGTAGCTCATTTTGACCACGCTGATTGATATAAAAAAGCTAAACATTATTCATTATATATATCATATACGTTAATCACTGTAAAACAAATATAGATATCTTACAATTAAATATAAAATATCACGTATAAAGTTAAACTAATATAATAATAATCGAGTTTTGTGTGCACATCACTTACAAATCATTTTTTACAGAGTGATTGTTTTCTGGTGGTTGGTACTATTGATAAGAAGTTGTAAGGCTATTAAGGTTTCTATTTCTCATTAGGTTGTATTTGTAATATCAATGAGCCGTTCAAACAAACTCAATTTAATATATATCCTGTTTTACTTGGATTAAGCCAAAGTCTTAAATTATAATTGAAGAATAGTTAAATACATAAACCATTTTATACAAAGGTAAAATACTAAAACTACATCTACCTTCTACAATTCACATGGATTAAGATTGATATATCATATCTTTAGTTTTCAGACCGTGACCCATACACATCATATAAAATTTACTTTATCGCAAGGATGATGACTGAGAAAATTGTAACCGGTCACCCTAGTTTGCTTAACAAAGGGTTTGTATATATTTACATATGCATTCGCTTAGATATTTAACTATTCCACATACTCAAGTTTATTTTAAAAATCGTGAAACTAAATCTCAAATATGTACAAATTTCATATCCCAATCTTGCGCATGGATGAAAAACGATTTTGAAAATATAAATTTACTAAATGAAATAAATCATTTTTTCAAAGAGCGAATTTTTATATAATAAAACTAGGAAATTATAATTAAAGGCATTTGGGCTAATTAACTTATTTGATATTTTAAGTTAATTCGGATTTAGTGACAAGATGAAAAAAAATATTTTGATATTTCTGTATATATATATTTTTAAAACCTTTATTAGAATAAAATATAAATATAAAATTATGAATAATAAACTAATCACGAAGATAAGTATCTCGCTCACTTGCGAATGAAATGAAAACGTAACCGGAAAGAATGAATGAAGAAAAATGAACTTAAAGAAAAACACTGAAATAAAATCTGATTCTATATATAAGGCTTGAATAGACGGGATTACTTTTCGTATCCATAATAATTAATTAATAATTTTAATTTTAATAATTTTAAGATGGTATTTGTATATATGCTTAAGATATAAAATTAATGGATAGAACATTTATGCTTTGAATTTCTATAATAATAATAATTGTGTATCCCATTCTTTCATACTAATTTATTTGTATATTGTTTCAGAATGCTAAGTGATCAGCAGATTGCCAGTAATTTGGGCGACGACATGGGATGGAAATCAAAACTGAAACTTCCTCCAAAGGATAATCGATTTAAAACAACAGTATGTATATTATCAGTTAATAAACTGCCTGACTAAATCCAATCTGATAAACTGTATGGAAGCATAGTGAATATATTTATGCATCTGTTTATAAATTCGGTTTTAAGTAATTAAAAAAAAAAAGCCAATTTTTTTTAATTAGCATTATTAGTTATCCAATAATTAAAAATTCTACTTGCAGGATGTGACTGACACTCGTGGCAATGAATTTGAAGAATTTTGCCTTAAGCGCGAACTACTAATGGGTATTTTTGAAAAGGGTTGGGAGCGTCCATCGCCAATTCAAGAAGCTGCTATACCCATTGCTTTAACTGGAAAAGATGTTTTAGCTCGAGCAAAAAATGGCACGGGAAAAACTGGTGCATACTGTATTCCTGTTCTAGAGCAAATTGACCCAACTAAAGACTATATTCAAGCATTAGTAATGGTACCTACACGGGAACTGGCTTTACAGACTTCACAAATATGTATTGAACTTGCTAAACATCTTGATATTCGCGTAATGGTTACAACGGGCGGTACAATTTTAAAGGATGACATTCTTCGTATATATCAAAAAGGTATTACATTTATAACTTATTAAAATTTTTCGCCACTATAGTCAATATTGTTCGAGTATTTCCGAGTCGAACATTGCATTCTCACATGCTAGTAGTTTATATATTTTGGCATAAATTCGATCGTGGAGTACGTGGATAAAATTATCATTGATCAAATATAAAGATATTTTTTTTTTTCTTACGTTTGCATGAATTGTTTTATGGACAAGAAAGTAGCAGATATGTCCCATTATATTTTCACTGCATGATGGATCATGTTAGCAAAAATTACCCAAAAATCCACAGATATGGTGAAACTTAGATTACATTTAAATATTAATTATGATATATGTTTAGTTCATATATTATTAAAATTTCTAATTTTAATTACAAAAATTTAAAGCAAAAAAATTTTTTTTAATACTAAAATTAATATTCTGCATTTTGTTTAATATATCATTAAAAAATCTATTTCTTTTCAGTACAATTAATTATTGCAACTCCAGGACGAATTTTGGATTTGATGGATAAGAAAGTAGCAGATATGTCCCATTGCAAAATATTAGTCTTGGATGAAGCCGATAAACTGCTCTCATTAGATTTTCAAGGCATGCTGGATCATGTTATATTAAAATTACCCAAAGATCCACAAATACTGCTATTTTCTGCTACATTTCCATTAACCGTCAAAAATTTTATGGAAAAACATTTGCGTGAACCGTATGAAATAAACCTAATGGAAGAGTTAACGTTAAAAGGTGTCACCCAATACTATGCATTTGTGCAAGAGCGTCAGAAAGTTCATTGCTTAAATACATTATTTTCAAAATTGCAAATAAATCAATCAATAATATTTTGCAACTCTACACAACGTGTTGAACTCTTAGCAAAAAAAATAACTGAGCTAGGTTATTGCTGCTATTACATTCACGCTAAAATGGCTCAAGCACATAGAAACAGAGTATTTCACGATTTCCGACAAGGTCTCTGCCGAAACCTGGTTTGCTCTGATTTGTTTACTCGCGGCATTGATGTACAAGCTGTAAATGTTGTTATCAATTTCGATTTTCCCCGAATGGCAGAAACATATTTGCATCGAATTGGTCGATCTGGTCGGTTTGGACATTTAGGTAAGTAATTCCAATTCGTATACATGCTATATTATTAGTATAACTCATGAACTAACTAACTAATGAAGAAAACTGAGCGAAAAGGTGGTGTCCATCTAATGCATACTAAATAAAATTAAATATAAAGAGCTAACAGTTAAGCAATCGAATACCCACAGATATATGCATGTTCAATTCTTAATCAATGAATACAAATTTCCTCTATTTAACCGAAAATAATAATGGTATTAATATTTTTGAAAAAAAAAAGTTGAAAGGTTTTTTCGATTTTTGAGTTTAGATCACATATTAAAAATATAGTTAGTCTTATTATCTCTCCTTCGTAGCTAATGAAAGAATAAGTTTTATAAGCTGTTTTTTATTTTTGCGGCAGATGTCAAAAATGAAATACTCAGATTAATCATTTAATATTTTAGTACATAGTGAAGTGAGTTCTGCTTCTTTTCTATGTCCGCAAAATTATTTCGTTGATATTTTAACGTAAAGAAATTTGAAATATGTCGTAGGTAATTGAGAAAGCGCTGAGGTATTTTACCAATTTGCATGGTAAATCTTATAAATTAGAATCTCTTATATTTATGGTGTTATTAAAACTATAGACTGGGAAATCGTATCATAGACTTATGTAGACAACCCATGATATATATAGTAAATGTATCTACGTTAAAACTGGTTTAGAGCTACATCCCCAAAATTTGACAACCATCGACCAATAAATTAAATATCTACGCCTACTAGGATCTAGGATCTTAGCAAGTCTGGAAAACTTGTTTTGTATACAGTTTATAATATTTTGAGCGCTAATGATGCAAGAGACTTGAAAATTTGAATAATCATGTAAAAGGAGCCTAGTAAAAATGTGTAGTATATATTTATGACCATTAGAGCCGGTTCAAATCGGAAACTCAGAAACTCGAAATTTGACAACTGAGTTACTCTTGGTTGATTATTAAAAAATATATATATTATGCATCCTGACCTTTTAGCATGGCAAATCGGAAAGTGTCATGTCTTCCACAATTTTAAAGCTGAAGCCCTAAAATAACACAGTTAATTTACTGTAGACCTTCTCATAATATGATTGATATAAATGACTGCTCATCATTAGGTTAGTACCGTCTTTTAATACATTAGTTCTTTTAATATGCACGTCAGCTATTTATACACTGAGCTCATAAAAAATGGGAAATCGGGGTATAATGGTTTTCTTCAAAGAATGGTAGGAGACGTGGCAGGCCCCACTATATATATTTTTATTAAGAAGACAAGCCGAGTTGTCCAGTCCGTCTATCCGTATGTGTGAAAGCGTCGATCCCAGCATCTATAAGAGAAGGTCATGACATTTTTTGTAGGTAATTGTCCTCGTTTTGTATTTATAGTTTTGCATATTTGGTAAAATTTGATTTATGTTATATTTTGTATAGCGACTCCAAATATCCCCAATTTCGTTTAATTTAAGTTCAGTTGGAAATAGGACCAAAATGTGAAGGAGGTTGCATTTAATAAGCTTAGAGGTACTCGAATTGAATATGCAGATCAAATGCTGCAAGCTTCATTCAAATGCGTTAGTAAAACAGAAGTTATTAAATAAAACGATTGGCCAATTTGCAAAAGCAAAGAGTACGCATTACATGTACACACATATATTCAAGTGCGTGAATTATTTCCTATTTGAAAAATCAAAACTGCGATTGAATTGTCGACTGCTAGAGGTGGCGCAGGCTACCGAGAAGTTCTGTGTTCAATAGTTTTCATCGAAAAAACTTATTTTGCGTCATTAGGATAGCGGCTGCAAATTCAGTTACGAATACTTCGCTCAATTTATTTCTAACAAATTGATCTTTAAGGAAAAAGTTAAAATTTATGCTGATGGAGGTACTCTGATGACATTTTCATGTTTTTTTTGCTTTTTCTAAAAATATTTTTTTAATATTATGTTGACAACTAGTTTGAGAGATAAATGGCCAACTTTAATTTATTTAAAAAAATAATTTTTGTTTATTTTCACATAAAACATCTGCAGCTCTATAAATAAAATAAAAAACTATTTCATGGTGAACACTTAGCTTAGTTCACAGATAGAAATCTAATTTATATTGTCTTCCATAGCGGTCTAAAAAAATAGAAAAATATTAATTTTTAAACAAATTTTTCTTATTTGAATGAATCAGTATTTATTTATGTTTTTTTTTTTCACCTAGGTATCGCTATAAATCTTATAACTTACGAGGATCGATTTGACCTTCATCGCATTGAAAAAGAATTGGGAACGGAAATAAAACCTATACCAAAAGTAATCGATCCAGCATTGTATGTGGCAAATGTTAGTGGATCCTCAGGAGAAACATGCAACAATAGTGATCTTAATAACTCTACAAATGAAGAAGGGAATGTTAGTAAATAAATAATTTAAAAATTGATTAAAAAAGAGAAAGTTTTGAAATATCTAAAAACATGAAAACAATAAACGAAAACAAATATGTCAGTAAACGTTTCTTATATTTTCATAACAGTAAGTATTGTCTCGAATTTCCAAACCATTATTTGTATGTTATTCGCCATTTACAGAACTCTATTTGCGAAAATAGAATGTATTGCACATTATCATTACGTCAAGAATTCATAGAATTATAATACTTAGCATACTTAGCTCCTAGATAACTGATTTTCTAAGGTCAACTGAATCTAAAATGATCTTAAACAAAGTTATGGTTATTACTTTAAATAGACAAACTTATGCCGCCCACTATAATCGCAATGTGAAATCTGTTTATGGATCTGGCAAAAGTAGTTTGATGTTTAACTACTTAAGCTGATTGCATAAAATCGACACAGGACTATCTTTAAACCATAAAGGTTGCAATATCATTTCTCAGAAGCGTAATAAGAGCCGTTGAAGATTAAGGACTTTAAATATGATCAAGAAGGCCAATAGGCCAAATACCAATATCTTTTCTCAGAAAACTGCTCAACAGTTCAACTTTAAATTAAAGCTTGAGTCTTCCCTACTAAATAAACATGTTGTCCATGGACATCAAACATGTTTAATTTTTGGTTTTTTTTCGATCGATTTCCTGACCCACATATTTATATGCCAGGAACATCATCTCCGGAATTGATATAGGCGGCCATTTTCGCGAATGTGTCTACCGTTTCGTTGTATTATCGAATCAAAGGCCCCATTTCATTATACATGTCGTTTACAGCTTCAACCCTGAGCGGCTAAACGTGTTTCTTAGTACATTTTTCTTGTCGTATCACAAAGTGACTATATCATGACTGAGGGTGTGCTGCTGTACCCAAATATTCGACTTCAACTTTGGCTAACTGTCTGTCTAACTGTTGAATCTGTTGGAGCGAAAGAGACGAATTACTTATACTTTGCAGTCGCGAGGGCTGTTCCTAAAAAATGCTCACTTCGCTATATGGAGCGATGACCATATATATGAACATATACATCATAACTCAGCAGAGCCCTAAATTTATCACTTATTTCAGAAAGGTGTGCTAGAGACGACCAATGTCTGGACCAAAAACATATTCCCTGGATTCATCTCAGTTGGTACATAGTGCGTGTCGTTACATTATACATTACGAATATACAGTAGGGAGCAAAAGTGTTTCCATAGTTGACACTTTCAACTTTGTGAGTCGATAACTTCCAAAGGAATGAAGCAAATCAAAAAAACTTTTTTTCCAATAATATGTATTTAATTCTTAACAAATTGCCGTATATAACAAAAACAAAAAATAATTAGTAAAATATTCAAACAAAGAAAACTGAAACAAAACGCATGTGTACAATTTTGCACCTTCAGTGAAAAAAATTAAATATGATTCTAAATCAATATTTTGTCCACAGGCCCTTATTAGCTATTACATTTTTTATTCAGTTTGGCATACTCTCGACCAACTTTTCTATGGTTTCCTTTGGAACTCGGTTCCACTTTAGTTCTACACGCTTCCAAAGATCGTCTAGGTTGGATGGCATTGATTGATATTGCCCGAGCCGTCGCTTCACGATTGACCACAGGTTCTCAATCGGATTAAGTTCGGGACTTTGAGCTGGCCACTCCATCAGCATAAAATCTTGGTTTTGTAACCATTCGCGGACAATTTTGGCAGTGTGCTTTGGATCCCCATCTTGTTGAAAAATTATTTCCTTTACGGGATATGCACACTTGTCCAGAAAATTGGGTAGACAGGTTTTCAAAATATTGAGATAGTCTTCTTTTAACATTATACCATCAATTTTATGCAATGGTCCAATGAGGCACCAAGTAAAGCATCCCCATTGCCTCCTCCATGCTTAACGGTTTGCTTCACAAGGTGTTTTTGAAGCTTGTCCCCGGGCCTGTACCAATAGTATTGCTTGCCATCTGATTGAAAATGGTTGAACTTGGATTCATCCGACCAGATGACACGTTTCCAATCATCTACAGTCCAATTCTTATGTTCCCGGGCGAATTTCTATCGAGCCTTGACATTCTTCTCGGACAGAGCTGGTTTATTTTTTTTCACACTTGCCACATATCCAACCTTAGCTAGTGCTCTTCTAGCCACCCGCCGAATCACGTCTTTTCCTATGTCCATAGATGCCTTCTTCGGTGTTAGGAGCTTATCAGTCTGGCGTCAGAGTCCTTTAAGAGTCGTTTGCGGCCTTTAATAGTGTTTTTGGATGCACCGTTGCGTCTTTTCTGGACTTCGGACAACGCTGAATGAAAAATATTAAGCTGATCTGAAGTACTACGAGTCGAATAGCCACTTTCAGTTAGGCTAATAATACTATTTTCGACATCTGACGAACGCTTCTTCATTTTTTCGCGGTACTTTGTAGACTAATTGCTAAAATTAACAAATCTACTTCAAATAATAAGAAACACGTGGATTTCTGGATCATAAAAGTGTAGAATGCATAAATAAAACATATAAGGGTAAAACTGCATGTGTATTGCCGATAAGAGAATTAAGAAATCAAACCAAAGTAAGAATATCGGAAGGTGCAAAATTGTACACATGCGTTTTGTTTCAGTTTTCTTTGTTTGAATATTTTACTAATTATTTTTTGTTTTTGTTATATACGGCAATTTGTTAAGAATTAAATACATATTATTGGAAAAAAAAGTTTTTTTGATTTGCTTCATTCCTTTGGAAGTTATCGACTCACAAAGTTGAAAGTGTCAACTATGGAAACACTTTTGCTCCCTACTGTATATATTTGGATTGCTCTTTAATCTGAGACAAGACCAACCAATAATGTTTTTCACAGTCAAACAATTTAATTTTTGTTTATTTCGCTCATCAAGTTTGCTAGCATTATATTGTGTTATAATAGAACCTAGAAAAATCCAGAAGATTAGTATTGCAAAGGACATCTAGCTTGGCGTGGAATGTTGCGTGATGCACATTATCAAAGTCCATACGAAATGCAGCCCAAATCGTTTGCAATCCTATTCACAATGCGTCGAAAGATAATTTGTTCTGTTTCCGATAGGCCCGATGAAACCAATCGGATCGTTTCACCGCGCAATGGTGGATAACAATTATCCAATGGTTAATATGAACAACAATGACTTTTCCATAGCTAGCTTATAGCGAAAAACTACGCAACCTGGTGGCAGTATTTAATTTTAAAATTTGAATATCATCGTCGGCTATCTTGTTATAAAATACACTGAATAATGGCAGCGGGCATTGAGACTCTGACACAACTATACATTTTACCAATTGAACCCCTAAGAGGAATATCAGAAGTGGTACCACACTTGCTTTATTTGCAAGCGAATGGAATATTCTCCTGAAGGAAATCGCAGATAATTTTATACGAAATGTTGCTCTCAATGGAGTCTCCATTGTTGGCGCAGCGATAAGCCATAAGGCCTGCTTCACTTCTCAAAATTAGCTTGCAAAATACTCAAGCCGAGTGTTGGGATTGGCGTCTTCCAGTGCCCTTTGGGTTGCGATAAACTACGAAGGTTTGAGGTATGTTGCTCAGCGCCAGAAACGATTCATCCAGAATGTGTTTTCTGCAATACTCGAAGTCCAGCTGCCTACAGAATGTGCCCAACACAGAACTCAAAAGCTCCGATGGAACATCAATCCGATGCGGCTTATAGATGTAGAGATCATCAATCTGTTCCAACTATCAGTGATCAGTGATGCCAGGTTGACTGTCAGTAATAATTGCAGTCAGAAATTTGCACCTCCAGAATACAAATTTACTGGGTAAACTTTTATTGCCGATGCCACAGAGTACACAATACGGGACAAATCTTACGGCTCGGCTTTTGATAAATATGAGAGTTACATTGCAATCATAGCAGTTGGTACATTGGTATTGCTGGTATATCTTTATTTGGCGCAGTAATTCCAGATATGAATATTGGGTTTTGCTTGTAATCCAGTATAGTGTTGTGCTCGAGTGGCAAGAGTGGCAGAAACTTCAATTGCAATAAATCGGCTATTGTAGAACAGACAAAGTCTACTTGCTTTTTTATACCGGGCAACTGGCGAACCGTTAAATTGGAAGATTGAACAGAGTTGTGGATTCGGCCGATTTTGCACTGAAGGATTGCAGTATCTCTAATAAAATGGAATCTAATTTGGCAGATATATCTAGAAATGGAATCAACATTCTATTACTTTAAACTTGTGTGAACTGCATCAAGGATTAACTCGAGCTTACTTAGTGGGTACAAAAGTACCCATAGCTGACATGTTTCCATCTGGCGTAGTTATGCAACGTTCAATTCAACGCTGCCTAAAATAGCTTTTGTTTTCAGGTTCAAGAAAGTAGCCTGAGCTGCCGGTATGCCATCAATACTAGATCCGGAATTGCTTATTTTTACTATTTACTGATTGGCCACAACTTATGTAGACTGGTTAAAGCATATGTACAGCTGACAGCTGATTTTAGTTTCACGCAGTGTCTATACAGACGCTGAAGATAATGCATTAATTATAAGCACACCACAAGAACAGAAGAGAGAACGTCTGGGTCACCTAGACAAAGATCAAAGCATCTGCGCCGATCAATAGTCAATAATATTATTGAACCATTATAGAATTGGAGTACTAATTGAAACTAAAAACGAAATCTTTCAAGGGATCCTACGGGTCATTAAAAAAAAAATACCCCATTTAAAACTTCAAAAGAAAAAAAGATATTGTAGTCCGGTAAGTTATGTCAAAATTTACAGCTGCTCTGGTCAGCTTTTAGTTATATGAAGCAACTATTTTATTAATGAAGGAGATTTGAAAGACTAAGGGATGATATAATTCTTGAGGATTTCAAAATAAAATTATTATGACGTGATACAATTTTTTTCTCAGAATACAAATATTAATTTATGTTTTACTCTAACTGGTTTTGTACTTTAAGTGCTTAAATCCATTTCAAGATTTGTATTTCTAGTAAGTGTTGAGTGTGTTTTTTTAGTATTAACAGATATATACTCTATGCACTTCAATAATTGATCTAAAACTGTTATATATTGGGCAAATTTAAGTACTACATGCCAAGAAAAAGCAAAAGCATTAATAATAGTAGCTATTGTAATGAACTTTGGGCACAAATATTTCCACAATAGTGGAACACACAATTCTTTGCTAGTGTTTGTAGCGTAGTCGCAAATAAGTCGCTAGAAATTATGTTTATATGATATTGCTAAGATTGCACATTTTACTTGCAGCGAATAAGGATTGACACTAATGATTTTCGATAAGATTTGTATAATTTTGGAACACAAACAGAAATTTAAAATACATGGCACATCTATTACTATTTGCAAGGCATAAGAGAAACTATTTTACATGGATGTGTGCAAAGTTATTGTAAAAGCACACTTAATTTATTAACTTGTAGCCGATACCTTGATCAACAGTCCAGTGGTTCACGCATATACGATAAAAGAACTTCTTGATACAGAACTCATAAGTTTTGTAGCAGACAGAATTTGCTCATATGTGGCGGCCATATTGAATGTGGGAATTGTTAACGGGGATTAATAAATAAAACAAATTATTTCTAACATACTATAATCCATCAATACAAAAAAGAATTTGTGGAAATAATGAAATAATTTTGTAAAATATATAATTGTCAAATTAGTTGTGTTAGTTCGATAGTTAGTTGTCCTCACTGATTTTAATATCAAATCAATTTACAAAAAGTGCACTAGTTTTTAATATAAAATAAGTGTAATTTTTGGTGTGTATTACCGTTGTTGCAAATGTGAAAATAATTAATGGCTTCTTGAATAACAAAAATTGAATAAAGTGCACAAATAATACAATATATATATATGCATAATACATACACTAGTGCATTGTCGATTGTATGTTCATACGACTTAAAAAAGTCAAATTGTGTCAATGGGTGCTACTTTCCCCTGCAAGCATCCATAAACAAATTAATTTTACAAAAACATGTTGATCAAATAATTAATTAAATCTCTCTTTATTTTAGTAATTTCAGATCAGTTAGATGTATATAAATTTTCATCAACTTACAGCTACATACAATCGTTCAGTCATATTATATGTATTTGCTAGTAATTTGAAAAACAATTATTGTCTCTCTCGATAATGGGGGACCGTGACATCCCAAGTGTTCCCGTCACAACATTAGCTGGCCTAACCAGCACTTCTGATTGTAAGTAAATATTTCTGTGTAGTTTTTTCATAATATATTTTTTTAATTTGAATTTTAGTGCTCAGCGAATTGCCTGTATCCGATTGTCTACAGAGCGCTGCATCTTTTAATAAATCACTGTTGTTCCATTCTTTGGTGGCCAATGAATCCAATAATCTACTGTCAGTCCGCGATGAAAATCTAGTAAGGCAGTTGGTGAATGCCATCGAACAAACGAACTCTGACAATATGTAAGCTCACTTTATTAATAAAATAAACTTATAAAATCCATAAAATATTAATTATATTAATTTGTATTTCATTATAGAGAACTAAAGCCTCAATATGCCATACAGCAACATGGTGCTAATATTAGTACGTATCCTGAACTACTGCAGGGCATTTACAACTATCGCCCAACTGTATTTAACACTCCACGGCGGGCCGGTAATTTGATATGAAATAAGAAGTACTTATAAATCAATAAAAACGATGTTCTTTTTAGCAATAAATGACCACACGATCCAGGAAAAGTTACAGAAAGACCATCCCACGCATTCCAAGCAAATAGGTGTTGTTAATAATGCTAACGATATTTGTCAGGAAGCATATAGTTTAAATGTTGACCATCAGCAGCATCCATATCGAAAGGAATATGTGAAACAGTCAATCAGGTAAGAATGGGCATTAAAAAACGGTCCACCTTATTCCTATTATAAAAAAAAAATAAGTTTTTATAAATACAGTTTATATAGCTGAATACAGTTAAATAAATCTATTAAATATAATTTGTAGATAGATATTTGACAATCAGGTAAATTGCCGTAAATACCAAAATATTAAAAGCTGTTTATGAAAATGCTTAGGGCTTTCAAAATGATTTGTCTGTGTTTTTTTAAACTTTCAGCGCTGATGGTACGAGTCAATTACCTGATCAGCCTGATGCTAGATCAAGTACACTTCAATTAGAATATATCGAAAATCCTATAGTGGGGCAGACTGCCATGATAGGAACCGACGTCTCTCGAGTAAATACAGTAATACGGGAAGAGCAACAATCGTCCCAAATTCAAGCACTCAACACCAATCAACATGTACAGCCTCTCCAACCGTATTATCAGCAATACGAACAACAAGATCCCATTAATATACCAAAAAGCAAAATCAGTTCATCGATTGCCCATCACCAATTACACCAGAATGCATTTCAAGCTCCGTCAACAACTACATCCACAATTCAAGGAAATTTTCAGAATGTATTGAACTTACAAAGACAGCAAGTCGCCGATGGAGCGATATCACAGCATCAAGTCTTAAAATCCCAGCAACAATGCACCAAACCTCCATCCCCTTTAACGTCGCTGGTGACTGCGGCAAATAATAATACATTTGTAAACGACTATAATCAATGTACAAATCTTACATCAACTGCCACCTCAGCATCCACATCTTCAAGCGGCAAGTCCCAGGTTCGGGTATGTATAAATCGTCTTAACGTTGAGGATGCTCGTATTCTGCAACAGAGTATTAAAAAGTTTGTACAAAAGTCACCAGAAATGGCTAGAAATATGGGGTTACTACAAGAATCAACTAACAAGCACCCTGTTAGTGAATACCTCCCATTGGCTGTTGATTTCAATGCATCTGGGCTATCTGGTATTCCGACGACCGAGCCTACAGTCGCCAGCACTGCGCAATCATCTGCAGATATGTTTACTGTTATTAAAGCAGATGAGAAACGTACTGGAACAAAAAGAAAATTAGCCATTTGTCTCGGTGATATTCCTCCAGAGCAAATATGTGAGTATTCATTAAAAATTATTTTAGTTGGAAAGAGAAAACCATCAAACTTTTAATTTCAATAACTGTACAGTCTCCAAACCCAAACTTCGGCGAGTTGAACGTATATTGGCCCTGCCAACACCAAAAGGAACTAAAGAAGAAGTTATCCGTTCCCAAACATACCAACAATTTATGAAGAATATGGAGCAAATAATTGAAATGCTAGATGATACTGAGCCCCCTAACTTTGATACAGGTAGCAAATAGTTTAATTATATAAATCTGACAAAATTTCTGGCTCCATTGTATTTGTTTAAATATTAAATATTTGTATATATTTACAGAAGATGTCGATGATAATATAGAGTGCATTTCTCCAAAACTACTTAATACAATGAGTGATGATGTTGCTAAGTTAAAAGCCAAGCAAGCCTTGGACTCAATTCCAAAAAACAAACTGACTCTGCTTATCAACTACGCCATGCGAAATGTTTATTTGGCTAGAAATTATTCTGCTGGACAGGTATGATCATTTGTGATTACCAAATTAACAAAATCCAGACCTCCTTTTATTTGTTTTGTAGGAAGACGAAGATGATATAGTTGATGATGAAGTAATAGAAAAAATATTGAACGCAATGGATGCGTGTCTACTCATATGCAATATTTATTCAACAGTGAGCGACTTGAAGTTTTTGCAAGAAGATAATATATCACACATTATTAAATTTGCTCAATTTCAACTGCGTGAAACTATATTTCCCTTACACGATCCTGTCTACACAGTAAAAAGTGTAAAGAAAACTAGTCAACGTAAAAAAGCTAAGTCGCATCAAGGTCACCATCGCAGCTTACAACTTTTTTATTCTAAAGTTGTCGAGCTTTTAAAGGTATTCGTGGCGCTCTTCGACAAATGTATATTTGTTGATACCATCGTTCTACCGTTATCAACTCTCGCTATTGAGCCATTCTTCGTTGACAATATTGAAACACTACAGTTTGTTTGTTTGGAGCTGGTTACAACAGTAAGTGACTTTATTATCAGTTATAATATTTTTAATATTTTACATTATAGATCATAATGATATAATATTCATTAACTACTATCATTATGAATAAGAATAAAAGTAAAGTAATTACTAATGTTGCATACCCTTTTATACTTTTATACTTCAATAATTTTGGTCATTTTAATCACCAGAAGTATAGAGAATTGGGCAGTTTTTTATGGATATATTATTGTCTCTGTTTTTCGTATATTTATTTTATATGTTGGCTTCTGTAAAGTATAATATTTTATAATATAATATTTATTTTTACCAATTCATAATGATTACGACTCCTGAATTAATTGGTATATGTAACTGTATGTCTACTCATTTTACTACATAATTTTCTGTAAACTTCAGCCCGAAATATAAATTTTAACAAGTCTGTTTGAAATGTGAAATTATACTTTCCATCATATTTAAATTTATCATTTTTAATTTTATAAATCTTTTTTTTTTTTTAGATATTTCGCAAAGAAAGATACGATAAAATACGGAACAGTATTTTAGGCGATATTCTATCATCTATTGATCGTTTGCCTTCATCAAAAAAGAATCTTCGTCCATATAAACTTACAAACAATGGAGGAAATATTCAAATGGTTACTGCACTTGTGCTGCAATTAATACAGTGCGCAACAATTTTAACAGATTCTCTTTGTGATGGCGGTAAAATGAATACAAAATTTGTACAAGTTATTGATAATGATGATGATTTACCAAGTGGTGCTACACAAATCATAAAACCTAACCAGGATATTCTTGTACTAAAAAAGTACGATGTCGCAGTTAGTATTGGTGGCAATTTTTTGACGACCTTTTTAAATAAATGCAAGTCTCGCACCAACGAAACTGACTTCCGTCCGCTCTTCGAAAATTTTATTCATGATCTATTAGCTACTGTTAACAAACCCGAATGGCCAGCTTCAGAGCTGTTACTTTCGTTGTTGGGAACTATGCTAGTTCGTTACGTATCTGATAAATCTATAGAACAGAGTATTCGCCTTGTTTCGTTGGATTATCTTGGAATCGTAGCAGCTCGTTTGCGAAAAGATACTGTTGAGTCTCGTTGCAAAGTAAATATCATTGATTCCATGATTAAATCAATTAAAGCAGAGCAAGAAAAAGAAGGGGACTTACCTATAGCAAACGTATGTATTATAATATTTATTACTTTTCAATAACTTCATTATTAACCAATTTTATACTCTTAGTTGAAAATAGAGCTTCATCCTGAAGAGCAGCGAACGGAGTTTCTTCAAAAAATTCTTCTAGATTTTCTAGCTGTAAATGCACAAGAGGAGAATTTAATATGGGACTATGCGCGGCATTTTTATTTGGCTCAATGGTACCGCGACGTAATCTACCAGCGGCGGAGAATAAAAGAAGGCGATAAAGGGTTTGCTTCAAAGAAACCAAAGTCTCGTTTAAATCAACGAACTGGTAAGTTTTTTAATGTAATCGTAAAAAATACTGAAACAATTAGCAAAATTACTTTCTTGTATAAATATATATAATATATTGTATGCAAAAGAATGTGAAAGTGTCTTAAATAAGAAATTCAAATTATATTAAATAAATTTGGTATTTAGTTGTATATGTAAGAATTACAAAAAATTGTATTTTGTACAAGTATATGTTCGTTTAACAGCGCAGAGCTAATATATATGAGCAATTCCAAACATTTTATTTTATTCAGTCTATTCTAACATCATCACTTCTTTTAAATGGGGTTGTGTATGTATGTACAACAAAGTAAAAATATTTGAAAGTGAATCTTAGATTCATCACTGATATTAGGATAAAAATTCTAACATCAAAACAGAAGTAAATTTAAAAATATGCGACAAATCTCAAAAGAGTTAAAGAGTTTCTTGTTTTTATGTTAATTCATTATGGTATAAAGCAAAAAGTTTTTATAGTAAAACCACTTCAAAGTTTTAAATATCGATTAACCTACGTCAATATAAATTTAAATGTCTCATTATGCCCTAAACCCATTGAAAATGGAAAATCGGGGTGTAACTATATATATGTATATATATATATATATATATATATATATATATATATATATATATATATATTCTTGATCTAGACGTCCTCTATGGCACCCGTGTCGAATTTGTTTCAAATAATCGATAACTGTTTTTGTTTTATTATTGTCGACTAAAAATGCTATCGAAATGCAGTTACTAAATACTCCAAATGTAGTGTTTATTTTTGTTTTATACAATTATGATTTTTATTTTATATAAGTTAATCAAGCCCACTCACAGCATAATGCAGTATGCGACGGTCTGTATGTATGTAATGGTGTGTATAAAAGATGCATAGAATGGTTGAAATATGAGTTGTGCACCGGATTAATATCTTGCAGTCGGGAATTTCCGACTAGAGAACAAAGATTTCATTACTATGTAAACTTTTAGTTCAATGCAGCTATAAAATCTCACAATTTATGTTTTTTGAAAAATATTCAGAAACTAATAATTCATTATATTATATGATTTATTTATTCTATTTATATTTAAGCTGACTACTCTGATACATCAGATTCAGGGTCCTGTGATGAAAATGATCCTGACGACTCTAATAAAAATGGCAATCGCCCCGTTAACGTTGTGGACTATGAACTGAATCTTGAAATTTTTAATGTTTTAGAAGAACGAAAACAGTACTTGATTAGTAAAATTAAACCATATCCCTTGGGAGAACAAAGTCATCAACACATAAAGACTTATATAGATTATAATAATGCACAGTTGATAGCTCAATATTTAGCTACGAAACGCCCATTTAGTCAATCATTTGATGGATGTCTTAAAAAAATTATTTTAGTCGTAAAGTAAGTATGCTTGTTTCAATATAACATTATAATTTTATTATTTACCTTTTGCACAGTGAACCATCAATCGCTGTGCGAACGCGAGCAATGAAATGTCTAGCTAATATTGTTGAAGTGGATCCGCTGGTACTAAAGCGAAAAGATATGCAAATGGGTGTTAATCAAAAATTTCTAGATACGGCTATATCAGTGCGCGAAGCTGCAGTTGATCTGGTAGGAAAATTTGTTCTTAGCAATCAGGAATTAATAGATCAATACTATGATATGCTATCGACTCGAATATTGGTAAAATATATATAGTATAGTTATACATGAATCAATTGTAAAGAAATAGGTTTCCTTGCAGGATACTGGTGTTTCAGTAAGAAAGCGCGTGATAAAAATCTTACGCGATATTTGTATTGAATATCCCGATTTTGAAAAGATACCTGAAATCTGTGTAAAAATGATACGCCGCGTTAATGACGAAGAAGGCATTCAAAAGCTTGTTACGGAAGTATTTATGAAAATGTGGTTCACACCATGTGTTAAGAATGACAAGGTATGTTTATAATGTTCTTGCAGCAATTTATAGCTTATATCAATTTTTATTTGTAGCACGGTATACAACGGAAAATTAATCAAATCATTGATGTGGTGAACACAGCACATGACACCGGTACAACTTGGTTGGAGGGTCTTCTAATGAGCGTATGCGATAAAATAGTAATTATATTTTCTTTTTTTTTAATTAATAAATTTAATTTAGATTTTTAAGCCAAAAGAAAATATGGTTAAACTTGATGGAAGTACCCAGGAAACTGTTAAAAAGAATACCGAACCACCACAAGAGATTGTATTAGCTTGCCAGCAATTAGCTGATGGTCTTGTGGACAGGCTAATTGAATTGGAAGACACTGACAATGCACGAATGCTTGGATGTATAACTACACTTCATTTGCTAGCTAAAGTACGGCCTCAACTCTTGATCAGGCATGCTATGACAATAGAGCCTTATTTAAATATTAAATGCCATTCAGCATCTGCTGCAAAATTTATTTGTGCTGTGGCTGATATTCTCGAAAGGGTTGTGCCTCTAGTTAACAATGCGAGTGAATCATTTTTGGCGTCTTTAGAAGAACATCTGATGCTACTGGTAGTTTCACGAAATCAGGCTGAGGTTACCAGTTGTGTTTCTTGTTTGGGAGCGCTTGTAAATAAGATTACAAAAAATTTTAAATTAATTCGCGACTGTTTTCAAAAGTAAGTATAAATTAACTTTAAAGAACTATAATATTTTAATATATTATTTTTAGGTTTTATCGTGTTCTGGAGTTGTCTAGGAATCAAGTCGAACAAAATGGTTTTAATATTGTCAATATTTACACACCCAGCTTTCGGAGAAGTCTATTTACTATTGGTATTTTAATGCGATATTTTGATTTTAAATCGCCAATAGCCTTAGGTAAATACCTTTTTTTCTTAAAAAACTGTGTTAAACTTAACTCGAAAACACTTGTAGGTGAAACAAATAATGGACTTCCTCCAACAATATGCGATAACGTATTTGAGTGCTTAATGTTCTTTTGTGGTTGCTCAAATCACGAAATTCGTAAGCAGGCACTTATATCACTTGGCTCCTTCTGTGTTATGAACGATGATTATCTGACTCGATCAGAGCTTAAGCAATTTTACTGTGATTTACTGAGGTCATCCTCAAATGATGGCGGAATAAAAATAATCTGTATGCGAAATATTTGGATTTATTTGACTGAATCTGAAATGTTTATGCACAATAAAGAGAAAGAGTGTTAGTATAATAGAATTAACCAATAACCAATGTAATATCAACAAAAATATCTCTAAAAATATAGGGGAAAAGCAATCAAAACACGAAGACTTAAAGGAAATGAATGATGTTTCGTCTGGTATGGCTAGTCGCATCATTCAGTTGTATCTGGAAGAAATTCTTGACTGCTTTCTTAATCGGGATGACGCAGTGCGGCTGTGGGCAGTGAAAGTCGTGCAAATCGTTCTGCGTCAAGGCTTGGTACACCCAGTTAGAATGGTACCCTATTTAATATGTTTGAGCACCGATTTAAAGGTTGAGGTAAGTAAGAATTTGAAAATTAAATTAATTAACTTTAATGAAGTTGAATTTTAGTCAGCACATAGAGCAGATGCCTTATTGAAAGACATTGATAAAACATATTCCGGGTTTGTAAATATGAAAGTTCAATTCGGTCTTCAACTTTGCTTTAAACTACAGGAAATATTACAAGTAAACAATAAGACGAAAAATGAAATAATCCGAGGTTATGCGTGAGTACCCTATTTATGGTTGTTTTAATCTAAATGTTATAAAAAATAATTGTTTTCAGCAAACGTGGCCCAGATCAAGTAACAACAGCTTTGAATGACTTTCTATATACTTTACTTCGAACCACAAAACCACAGAGACGCGCGTTGGTTCAAACGGTTACAAAACAATTCGATGATAAAAAAACCTCATTGCAGCAAATGTTATATATCGCCGACAATCTTGCATATTTTCCATATGTGGTTCAAGATGAGCCTTTATATCTAATCCATCAAATTGATTTACTTATATCGATGGCTGGAACGCATCTTTTAACCACTTTTAAAGAGCATCTTAGACCAAGTGACAAGGGAGGAGACGTTCTTGAAGATGATGATGATGAGGAAGATGCAAATGTTCTTTTTAGTCGTCTTCCTGAAGATATGACCGAAATTAAGAAATGTATAACATCCGCCCAAGCGTGTATGCTGCTACTTGTACTGAAAGAGCATCTAAAGGAAATGTATGGTCTAACTGATGGCAAAATATCACGATATTCGCCCTCTGAGCAGAAGTTATATGAAAAGGCTGTAACACGTAGGATTGTTGCAGACTTTAATCCAAGAACAACAATTGATGTGATTAAAAAGCAACCAACTCAAAATTTTACAAGCACAGATACTGACTGTTTTTCTAGGGAACTATCGAGTGACGAAAAATTGGATCTGGTTGTGAAATATTTAGATGTGAGTAACTGTAAACTTGAATTTTTCATTTTAACTTTATATATTTTAAATTTTAGTTTAAGCAGTTGATGCTTAAACTGGATCCGGAAGATGCTGATTCTGATGCAGATGAATCTCGAGAGAAGTTAAAATTAAATAGTTCGGGGCTAATAGACGATAGTTCTTCCAATTCAACCAGGCCTAGTCAAGTATTAAATGACAAGCCAAACTCCGATTCTATTCCAACCGTTACTTACTGTAAAATCCAAGCATCATCAACAACTTTAACGGCTGTAAGCTTATAATTCATATATATGTTTCTCAAAGATAATATAATAACATATATAATATAGGAAACGTCGAGCATCGATACACTGAATTTCCGTACAGCGAAATCTTCACTCTCTCCCGCGAAGTTACATGTGCGTAAACAAAACCAACAACGCAATAAAAAGAAACGACGCAAAATAATATCGTCTGATGAAGATGATGAATACAGTGGAGATGACTATTCGTGAGATGTCTTATTGGTTAAACCATAAAATACAAAAGGGAACAGAAAATATATAAAATAATATTGAAGTTTAGGCTTAAATGATATTAAATAGGGTATATTATAATATATGTATGTATGTATAATTTATTATCTAAAGCTATAGTGTATAATAGGAACTAATCAATAACATAAAAGTTGAATCGCCTAATGTAATCAAATATCTTTTGTAGTATCTAAATTTATCTTAATCAATTTTGCCGGAGAAAAAAATAAAATTAAATACAGTTCATGTATAATTTTAAAATCGTATTAAAAATATTGGTCAAATTTTAAAGCAGATCTGAAAATTTAGCGTACGGGCTAAGGCCTTAAACGACTGTTGTAAAAACACTATTGTAAAGATAAAACCATTTCTCAACAAATTAATTATCTATAGGAATATTTTTGAATTATGCGTAATATGTAATTTTTAATATAGATAAGTTACAAACTTTTATTTTATTTCAACTTGAGATTTTTATAAAAACGGACTTGACGTTTGATTCCTCGGCAATTCGAGAAACCCCTTTGTGTTTATTTACAAACGACCGAAATGAATATTCCACAAAAGAATATTTGCAATATTGTTTTCTGCTTTTAGAGAAAATACACAAATCGAATAAAAATATTTAAACTTAAAGCTATAATTTTGTTTCAAGTCATATGTATATAAATATAATATGATTTATTTTGTTTAAAAAATGGATATTTATTGATATGTGTATGTAGATAAATAAAAGTTTAATACAAATTATATAATAAATATAAAATAATGAAAACTTTGTACGTATTTTCTTTTATTTTTATGAGTTCCTTATTAACTTGGGAAGATCAGTTAAAATTTAACACGAAGAAAATGTAAATTAAAGACTTATTTTGCTATACAAATGCAGGTAATGCAATGAAATACAGTTAATAAATTATATCTCATACGTCTTAAAAGCTAGAGCATCCAAATTTTGTATTTAGTTTTATGCAATTTTGATTTTTTTATTTTGGATACCGACTCCAAATTTCCCCAAGTTTTTCAAATTGAAGTTTAGCAAGAAATAGGGCCATTATGTGAAGGCATCTCAACCAAGCCAATAGAATATGTAGATCATATGCTGAAAATTTTATTAAAATCCATTAAGTAGAACAAACAAAACGTTTGGACAATTTGCAAAAGCACATGACAGCAGCGCCACGCGCACCTATTTTTCCTATACGTGTGCACACATACATTCAAATGCGTGTATTCTTTTCTATTCGAAGAATTGAAGAATTCGAAGAGTGCTTGAATTATCAGCTGCTACTTAGCTTCAAATGTGCAACCTCTTGCATAAGCAGTGCAGTGACGGTTCTGGTAGAGGCGGTGCGCGTTGCGTAAACAATTTGGGTTCGAATCTTGGTGTCGTAATGTTATTTTTTTCGTTGTTGTTTTTATTTGTTATTTTTTTTTTAAATACTCGATACTAACAACGGAAAATATTAAAAAACGCATATAGGACTGGGATCAGGGTATGTCCTAGTCGGGCACCCCGACTAGAGCTTTCTTAATTGTTTATTTTTGAGATCGATCAAATATTAAATATTTCGATCTTTTCTATTTTCAACTGGCATGCCTCAACAAAGTATAATTTCTCTGAATTTCTATATAAAAGAACAAATTTTTTGTAGTCCACTTTAGTTATCCTATTTTCAGACTCAAGCAATAAGTCCAACGAACCTCAGAATCAATACACATATGAACGGCAATATGCATAATAAATTCCAAAACGCCCTGGTCTTTCAAATTTCTGAATATATATGAATGTATGCTGAATCAGCACTAAGCTCGTAATAGTATTAATTGCTCAGTGACAAAATCTTCAGCCTAAAAGTAGACAATGCTCTGACATTCCATGTCGCTCTAGCGAAAGTTGTAGCAAACCTAACTAGTTCATCTATCTCTCCCACAGATATATATGATATGATATATATATATGATATATATATATATATATATATATATATATATATATATATATATATATATATATAATTAATTAACTGCATTTCAATGATATTTTTATTCGATAGCAATTAAATGCGAGATCGACGCGTTCACACATACGGACGGACAGACAGACGGATAGGGCTCCATCGACTCGGCTTGTCGTCCTGATCAAGAATATATATACTTTATAGGATCTGCCACGCCTCCTTCTGCCTGTTACATACATTTGCACAAGACCATTATACCCTGATTTCCCATTTTCAATGGGATCAGGGTATAAAATTATATGAAGGTATAATGGAAAACCTCAGGAACAACGAAGAGTCTCTGATGAAAGTCGAAGTGGCCGACCACGCCATAGACACCGACCAAACAGCATCCATCCAACCAAAGTCATCCAATGGACAGCACAGACAGCAGGAAATAATAATTTCCCAAAGAAGCTCAAGCCCATTGGAGGTGATGGTAGACCTTGTGGACAGACGAGCTCTAAAAGTAAGGCAACACATGCAAGAAGTGTATGCCAATCTAGAGCTCATCAGCCAGGAAAAAGTCCTTGTCTATAAAGACAAGTTGATTTTCCTGTGGAACAAAGTCCAGTTAACGCTCACGGATTTAGAGGCAAAATGTGAGAAATTTGACAACAGGACAGATATCAGCGACAAGGAAGCTGAACTACCTGAAATCATGCCTCAAATGAGAAGCCTAAATGGTCGTCATTTATTAATTGGCTCGTCTGCTAACTACAACTCAGCGTGGGAGCTAATATGCAAGCGCTACGAAAATAAGCGTAAAATATTTGCTAACGCCGTTCCAGCTAGTGAACATGGAACTGCTGAAGAATAATGATGAAGGCAGTATCCGCAAGTTCTTGGACACTGCAACAGAATGTATATTCATTATCAAAGAAAAATGTCAATTTGGTAATGAAGCTGACGTTCTAGTCGATCAAATTCTGTTGCGACAATTCTCTACGGAAGTCCTACAACTTTACAAGCAACATGTAAAGAAGGCTAGAGAAATTCCGTCAATGGACAATGTGCTGGAGTTTATTGATTGTTTATTGAACTATATAACTCAATAGATTCAGTTCGTTGCCGAGAATATCTTTGTTCAATGCCAGCGGCGGTGTTAGAGTTGATGCATAGGAGATGGTTCGAGTGGACTCCTAATGTCGGTTTTCATATGTAATTTTTTGTTTTAATGCTCGATACAACCCTTAAAAAAAAATAAAAAAACGCAGATAGTACTTAGTGAAGGGTAAATCCTAGTTGGGCACCTCTGACAAGTGTTTTCTTGTTATACACTTAGCTCATTGAAAAGGGGATATACTGGTTTTGAGAAAATGAGGAAAGCATGTTATATTTATATATATATATATATATATGTATATATATATATATATATATATATATATATATATATATATATATATATATATATATATATATATATATATATATATATATATATATATATATATATATATATATATATATATGTATATATATATATATATGTATATATATATATATATATATCTATATATCTGCCCACTATATATATATATATATAATGAACGTCGCCTCTACTAACACCGGCACTGTACTACTTGTGAAAGAAGGTGAAGATTTAAAATAAAGTATCAGTAGACAATTCGAACACAATTCAACCGCAATTTAGATTCTTGGAATGGAAAAGAATACATGCAGTTGAATGTGTGTGTGCACATATATGGGACTGCTTGCCTCGTGCTTTCGCCAATTGGCAAAACGTTTTGTTTACTACGTTTTGCATTGCTTAACGGGTTTAAATGAAATTTTCTATACATTAAATATTCCAAATTTGTCAGTTTTGCAAAAATTCGAAGTCTTTTACGTGGTACAATTTCCAAATTAACTTAAATTTAAACAATTAAGGCAAATTTGAAGCCGGTATCCAAAATATAACAAAAAATCAAAATGTCACAAAATATACAAATATACAATATAATTCTAACCTAGCTCTTAAGCCATACAATATATCATTTATTGACAACATTTCAATCATATTTTTATTCGATAACCAGAAAACTGAAAAAGTTGTCGATTATTTAAAGCAAACTTTATATGCGCGTGCTATATACGGACTTATAACAAATTTTAAATGTCTAGCTCTTATAGATGCTGAGATCGATGCGTCGATATTCGATTACTATTCCCGTTGTAAACCCTTTTAAAACCTGATTCAAATAAAGTTAATTAATTCTGTCTCGTACGGTTTAAGAGCTAAAGTCTCTAAATTTTATATTTAGCGTTATGTATATATTGTATGCGCAAGTGTGAAATTTAATTTTAAAAAAATTCAAATTTAAATTTTTTTGTGGCTGTCCTAGGCTCTCAAAGAGTACGGTCGTGTACGCGCAGAATAGTGATAAATAGTGAATAAACAAATAAAACAAAAACAAAAAAGCGACTGCAAACCGGGTGCTTTTAAGCAGCAAAATGATGTCTCTAGGAGACGATGGTGAAAGCAAAAACCAACAACTCCACGATCAATTATATGGAAAAATGTGAGAAGGAAAAGTCTCTACACAGGCCCTTCTACATCTCGGCGAGCTAACCTCTTTGCCCTATTGGCAGACAAGGAAGACGAAGCGACGAATCAACAAATGAAACAACTGATGAAGTGGAAATGGACACACCTCCAATTTTTGTTCCCAATGTGAGTGACATGGATTTATTCAATTCCTCTGCCCCCCCATTGGCACCACTGAATTCACCTATAAGACACAACGAGACGGACATATTCGCATTGTGATAAAAACTATTGAAAAATATAGGAGCATAGTTAAACTACTAACTAAAAAAGTAGACTACCACACATTTCAACTAAAGCAGGAAAGGGCATTTAGAGTTGTAATTAAAAACTTGTATCACTCGACACCCATCGACACAATAAAGCGTGCAATAGAAAAGCAAGGTCACGCAGTCAGAGGGATTCACAATATCAAGAGTCGTATTACCAAGGAGCCACTTCCAATGTTTTTCGTAGACCTGAAACCAAGTAAAAACAATGTGGAGATCTACAAAACAAAATAGGTTGAGAATGCCATTGTAACAATCGAGCCGCCAAGGAAAGTGAGCGACATGGTACAATGCTTTCGATGCTGGTAATCACCCAAGCGTCAATTGTACTAAATCGAAAGATGCACCAACCACCTGTGCCAACTGATTTGAGAGCCATGCTGCTAACTACAAAGGATGCAGAGTTTATCAATCTATTACCAAAAACAAATCTATCGATAACAAAACAGCAATGGCTAATGAACGACCAAGATTGTCAACAAACACACAAATAATGCAAGCTATGCGCAAGTACTACGAGGTGACCCTGTCGTAAAAGAAAACTCTTCTCTAGAAAGAATTGAAAATCTGTTAGTAAAACAATCTTAACTAACAAATAATTTACTTAATATGATAATGTTACTTGTAAATAAGTTATGCAATTAGATCTCCGCATAGCCATATGGAATGCTAACGGGCTTTCCAGTCATCGTAATGAAATAACCTTATTTATTAAAGTCAACAAAATTGATATATTAATTATTTCAGAAACACATTTTACTAACAGAAATTATATGGCCATTAGCGGGTTTAACATCATTAATGCTAACCACCCATCTGGAAGAGCACAAGGAGGAAGTGCAGTTATTCTAAAAAGTACTTTAAAATACACAGCACAAATATTATGCGAGTTGCATAGATTCAAGTACAATGCATGCACTCCACTATATCTATTGCTGCAATATATCTAACACCAAAATATGGATGCAAAGAAGACGATTTCAATTAACTATTTCAACGACTTGATAGATGCTTTATTGCTGGAGGTGACTATAACGCTAAACATCCATGGTGGGGGTCAAGGCTGGTAAATCCAAAAGGTGCTGAATTATACAAATGTATCACCTTCAACAAATACTCAACTTTATCGACAGGCAAGCCGACGTACTGGCCAACTGATTCACGTAAGATCCCAGATTTGTTGGATTTCATTGTTTACTCTCAGCTACCGCAAAATAATTTTAAAATAGAAGAGAACTTTTATCTGAGCTCTGACCACTCACCGATTATAGCAACCTATGGAACTACAGTGTGTCACAAGCAGAAGTCTTATAATATGATTAATGGTAAGACCAACATAAGCAGATTTAAAAGCTGGTTAGAAGACCGAACATGTCTGAATACTTAACTCAAGTCAGGTGATGAAGTTGAAATGGCAATTGAAGCACTCACCAAAATATAATGTAAATAGGCAAGCTTTTCTACCACTAGAACTTATAGCAAAAATAGCTGAAGAAAGAAAACTGCGGAAAATATGGCAGACAACGAGAAGCCCAATCGACAAGAGAAAATTTAACAAGGCAGTCCATGGCTTAAACAGTAGACTATGGGAAATAAAAAATTAAGTTTCAGCAGAATATTTAAGGAATCTTGATCCGTATACAAGTGACTTGGATCACAACCTTTGGAAAGCGACTAGGTATCTTAAAAGACCAACCAGAAGAGCTATACAGAATACAGAATTTTAAATTTACATACTAACTATTTATATATTTTGTATGAGTACCTCGCATAGTTGCAAAGCAACGCACAAACTTATTCTTCACTTCACTTTTTGTGCTTGTGCAGGAAAAACGATCAGCAAAAATTAGCCATAGTTTTTTGACGATATATTGCTTAACAATTATTAATAAATGTAAACAGGCATTGTGAATACACTTGACTGTGGTGTTGTATTTCCTAGTCGGGCACCCCGACTAGAGTTTTCTTACTTGTTTCTCCTCGATGACACCGATTTGGATCAAAGCTAGATGATTGGCAGTAAACTCTTCTGCCAATGTATCAACGACTGATAACGCATCCTTTTTTACGATGCTCTGTCGAATCTTGTCATAAATCTCTGATTGCTTGAGCAACTCAAAAGTTAAATTATTTAGTTTGGTCCTTCGAGCCTGAGAATACACGTAACTGTGGTGTTGTTCAGTTATTTTTCTGAGCTAGGGTTCTTATACCCTGACTCATGCGTATTTCATCTCTTAAATCTAACTTATCTATTGGTCAATTTGTAAGGCTCAACGTTGGTACGGCGTGTTCGAAATCTTCAAATATATTGCATGTTCATGCCTGAATAGCCAAAATAATTCGAAAGTTATACATGTTTTACAGCAGTCAAGAGGATAGTTCACCTTTTTTCATTTTAAATCAATAAAACTAGAGTAACTTCAACAAGAAATAAATAGCTGCAGGCTTTGCTATTGAAAATTAATTGTTAAATATCTTTTCCTCTAGATGGATTTTCTCAATGAAATTATAATCGTAGCAATGGTATCCAGTTGTATCAATTTCCCAAACCAAAAACCTTCTTTTCGATTTTTGGAACAATCCCCACATTCCACAGTATTGGTTAAAGTAGATTACGCAATGTTAACCATTAGTTGCTTTTAATGTTAACTGAGAGTTCTGTTGTCCTTTATAAAGATTAGCAGGAAATTAAGAGCAGTGCTTTATAACAAAAAATATATTTAAAAAATAATAATATATTAGTAAAATAATATCGGCCGTTTTGAGAAGCTAAGTATAACTGTTTATATATCATTGACTGTCTTTAAGTCAGTAAAAGAACGAAAATAAGAAAGGAAAAATAAATGTTATATTAAATTATAGTAAGATCGTACAGTTTATGTTTTATACGAAAATATATATTTCAAATTTAAAGTCTAGCATTTGTAGCTTACGAGATCGCTGCGTCGTCTTATTAAGAATGTGTATCCTCTATTTCCTTTAAAGAATCAGCAAAAGTGTCCTGATAGAAATATTAATGATCTAATGGACACAGGAATTCAACTTATCGTCCTGATCAAGAATATAAATACATTATGGGGTCGGCAACGCTTTATTCTCCACGTTTTGATAAAAATTCCTGTAGCGCCTTTATATTTGCCAACATAATTATGTATTATTAGGCTTATTATTATTAATTGTATTCAGTAAATGAGCTCATTTACATAGAGATCAATATTGACCTGGAATTTTTAAATACAATTTAGATATTCTATGCTCAATATCACTGTGCGCACTATCCAGTTTGCGCTTAGGTGCACACGGCTAAGTTGTTCTCATTTTTGTTGACGCAGGTTAAAACACTTGCCTGGAAACTAAGTGGCATCTAGATGGAAATAAAGAACCCGCCCTTCATATTCGTGTTGTGACTTTGCTATACTGTAAGAGAGCGTGTTGTACTGACTGCAATCAAAAATAAAGGGAAACATCTAAACTTTTCTCTTTCTTTCTTCAGGCAAAATCATCCCCCGTTTGTACACATGTGTATGTACAAATTTCTTTCCATCCAAAAATATGCACGAAAAATATGATACATAAAATCATTTTAATGTTGTTCTTATAATGAAATTGCATACATAATTATGCATGTTTATTATCATGTGTTATTGTATATAAACCTAGTAGTTGTACAGAATTCTCTTAAATACAAACACGTGCATAGTTTACCATGTACTAAGCTGTGAAGATAAAGAAGTGAATACACACACAATGTTACCATTGGAGTACTGTTAAATTTAAGGTACGGAATGCGATTGCGTGAGTTACGTAGAGTATACTTGTTGTCTGCTCTTATTTAGTCTTCGTGTGGTGCTTCGAAAAAGAGGACCTTTACATAAAGCAATTCGTATCGCGGCCTAAAATACATTTAATATAATGATTATTATCGCGAAAAAATGGGATGAAACTTTATGAAAATAAAAATTGTGCACATTCAAAAATCTATATATATATATGTCTTTTATGTATGAACATACATATGCATGTTCATAAAATGTACAATATTGAATGCACTAGTCAAATAAGTAAAAAATGTGAATTCATAAGTATGTACATATATGGACTGATTTAAGGAATATAAACTTGTATGTATCTGTGTACCTGTGTTTCTTAGTATTGTATGTATAACGAAGGAAAATTTTTTTTTTTTTAGTAGATAGATGTATGTATACATATGTATGCATATTGTAGTATCTGTTAATTAATGGGTTTCCTTTTTATGCTGTATACACACATACATATATATATATATATATATATATATATATATATATATATATATATACATATACATATACATATGCAAATCAAAGTATTCGTATCACCTGAGTAAGACTTTATTTGTGGGTTATCGTATTTTTTGGATTACGCAGTATATTGAATTTATCTAGTCTTGTTTTATTCAAAAAGGTATGATTTCAATGAAAAGAACACTTGTATTACAATTGTTTTGTCGATAAAATTAAATTATATACCGTGAGAATGAGTATGCAACGTCCGCACAAATTAGCATCATATAATCATAATAATCTATAAATTGTTTATATATTATAGATATTGTAGCCGTTTGGAAAGCAATAAATATGGTTGATGCTCGTGAAAACTAATCCAAACGCTGTAAGCTAGAACGTGTTGAAATAATGGAATTGGAAAAATGGCATATACAAATATATTTGTGTTTACTATTGATCACTTCATCATATTCAAGTAAGTTATAATATATATAAATTATATTAATAATAAACTTTTACTAACTGCTACAAATTTGATCCAAATATATATGAATATCTAAATATTTATATTTATATCTATGTTCAATTTTGATGAAAGTATTAATAATTAATACAAAGAGTCCGTAAAAGTATTGAGCTTTTATTAAACTAGTTCAACTAATTTAATATAAATGCGATTCTGTCTTAAAGCAAGAACTGCGCAGATCGAATCATAATAAGTTATATCCAGAAGGCTCCTAATAATATCGATGCAATCGCAATATAAGAAAGGGCTACTTACATATCCTAGTCTCTTAATGCTCAATAATGTGTGTGTGCACCTCCGGCATAAGCTGCTGGCGTACAACTGTCCATGTATAATGCTGGATGATATGCCAAAGTATTAAGGAGCTATTAAATTATAAACGTTAGTAAATTGTGGAATATATCATAAAAGACACCATCGAGTAGATCCCAGATCTTAAATACTTACGAATATTCAGAGGATGTAATACTGTCCATAGTGTAATCCCTACAGAGAGGATTTATGTTTGTTTGTTTTTTTTGTATATATTTGATTATTTAGATGCCATCAACATTTTTTACGAAACATAGTTGAATATATCGCTTGAAGATTTTTTCTGTTATACGATATTGATTATGAAATTATTAGTGGGTGATATAGATTATCTTAAAATAAAATTAAATGTGCAACCACAAAAACTGTAGTCTGGCGTGTCCGATTCCGAGATACTCCAATCCATGCGTCTGCGTTTTTAAGCGTGTCTGACTCGCATCTTCAATCAAGTAGTGTGTTTGCCACCGAAAAATAAACTTTTTTTTTTTTAAAACTGTACCGGAAATTGAACTTGAATATCCTCGGCAATCCGAGTCGCACGTTACCGTTCCGCGAATGCTGAAACGGCCGTGTTACATATTTATAACAATAATCGAAACGAAAACACAGTTTTATAGGCAAAATCAATGCAGAAAAAATGATCGCAATATTATCACCAACAAAGAATATTTTAAGAGTTCAACTGGCACAAATAGAAGGTAAAAAATAAGGAAAACAATTGGAAATCAGATTTTTGTCAGTCTGGCAATCTTATTTTATCTTATCTGACCACTATCAGGTATTTCCTGAAGATGATCTGAAGCAAGGATTTTATGAAGGATAAAAGAGTTCAGATGAGAAAACAAATTAAAATTTATAAAAGTGAAGGCATAAATCAAAAAAAGTTGTGCAAAGAGTAATCGGCTGCATAAAATAGCATGTGTAACATCGTAAAAGCCAAGTCGCTTTAAGAAGGATAGAAAGTTTAAGTGGATATCATACAAATTAACAATATTCTACGTCGGTAATAAAGTCATCTTTAAAATATTGTGAGCCACCTTACAAGAAAGTGTTAGTTCGAAAAGTACATCGAGATAGGTTTAAAAATACGTTGCACAATATAGAATGAGTGAATTTAAAACATAGAAAAGAAGTGTATCCAAAATTGGTTTTAATACTAAAGTCTGCTGCAAAGAATAAATTAGATTTTTTATTGGTACAAAATTAGAGATTTGTTATAACGAAGTAAATTGCAACGATATAGGGGACATTCTGTTGAGATTTTTTCATTTATCGAAATTACAATGATTTACTCCTGGAAATACAAATATTAAAACTAAAACTACTGACAATGAAAGTCGACTGTACAGACTAATGTGTGTCAAAAATAATCATAAAAGCAGGTAATATAGATACCTCGCTGCGTCGATGCGTCAGGAGAGGATGAAGGAGATATTACCAATGAAAAATAATGCTTGTGTTACCTACATTTCATGGAGTCTCTATTTGAATGATGGGAGTACAATTAAATTTATTCATTTAGTCTCTATTTATATATGATAGGAATATAAAAAATTGAAGTAAATCATCGGTATCTTCAAAGCTAAACAGCTAAGAAACCACACATAGTTGTAAAATTTTACAAATAATTTTCTTTTCCTAACAATTATGATTAGGCGAACACCCCCTACGAATTTTGACAGTCGACTTGATTTTATCACAACCTAGTATGCATTGAAATATCACCAGCTGGCGAATTATCAACCAGACAAAAATTAAGAAATTGCGATTGGTCAATGATTGTCAAGTCAAGTCAAGTCAAGTCGATTAAATATACTGATAGAACGAAAATCCAATAGCAACATCAACAAACGCAGAAAAGAGTGACATCTCGCCAAAGGAATACACAAATAGGAACAGAGAATATTGCTTAAATCACAATATAATTCGAATATATGTATGTATGTATATTTATAAGAATAAAACACAAAAAGTAGATCAAATGCACTTTCAACTAAGAAAGTCGTTCTACTTACCATTGCCCATTGCGTCAACCGAAAAAATAATAATTAATAATTCGTTAATACTTACCATGCAGAAAACATGCATATGACAATTGTTCTATCAATAACATATTTTTTATATACTTATGCTTATCAATGATAAATCTGATTATCTGTACACTCTATCAAAAAATGAGTTTTTAATTTTTCACTATATTTTGAGCTTAAGCCACTTATTTTCTTAACATAAATTTAAAAATTTCAGATGTAGGAAAAATGACTTCATCACAAAATCATTTTGGAAGTACCGTGCCAAGTCAATTCAATACCAAAAATAATACTCGTGTAGTTGCCCAAAAAGGAGGCCTCGCAATTTTGCCATGTGTCGTTAAAGTAAACTCCCCGGCAACGGTAAGACATCAATTAGAAACAAATTTTTATGAATGTATACTTAAATATGATGCATATAAACTAGTTTGTTACCTTACCTTCTATATACCCTAGGTCATATGTTATTTAAAGCTCTATATAATTTTACTATACTGCAATAGTAATTTATATCATACAAACATTTATTAAATACGAATATACAAAATTATAAAATACCGTAAAAAACAGTAGAGCTTTAGGACAAATTAAATTTCTGAAGAAAAAAAGTTTAAATAGCTCCATTTATTGAATAACTTTAAAATTGATGAGAAATTATAAATAGCTCTGAACGATCTATTACAAAATCTTAATAACAATCAATTAATGAAATAGACAGTTCATTCTTAACATAAAGCAATCAAGCTCTTACAATATTGTTTTACCATTTATATATGCTAATTGAAATACATATATAGCATAACATTACAAGATTGAATACTTATAGGTTTCTTGGATAAGAAGAAAAGACTTCCAGTTGCTAACAGTTGGTTTATCAGCACATAGCAGTGATAAACGGTTTTTAGTTGAACACACACGACACATGGGCCATTGGTCGTTAAGAATTAAGGCCGTGAGGGAAGACGACAAAGGGTTTTATGAATGCCAATTGTCTATTTACCCCACGCAATCAATTTTTATTGAACTAAAAATAGTTGGTATGTGTATAATGATAAAAAAAATTGAATTGTAAAAGCTAAAATATAAATTTGTATTTATAGAAGCAGTTGCGGAAATATCCAATTCTTCTGATATTCTTATCGACGAAACTTCAACTCTTCAACTACAATGTAAGCTTAAGGGTGCCACTGAAAACCCATCTTTTGTATTTTGGTAAGTTGGAAAAATAACCACATTCGGGATTGATAAAATAGGGTGTGTTGGATATGAATTTTATATATCTATCACTATCATTTCCTGTCTTTATGAACGCGCAGATATTATAATCTACAGAATCTGTGTACTTCAAATGATAGGATAGGTAAATAGGTATATACATATATATATATATATATATGTATACATATACATACGGACGGACAGATAGTTGGATAGGGCTCAATCTTTATGAGGTCTGCCATGCCTCCTTCTGTTTGTTTCATACATTTGCACAAAACCGTTATACCCTGATTTACCATTTTCAATGGGACCGACCAAATGGTACATTTTAAGTTTTTCGCTGTAAAACTGTAGAAGGTACAGTTTTTTGTATGCTCAAAATTGTGGAAATTAATTCGATATAACACGCGTCCAAAGAGGCGTAAAAATTATTTTTGGTTCATCGGTTGAGGAGTAGTTCAGTAATTATTAAGCTTTTAGTTCTAGTTTCTATCGTCTTAAATATATATACTGTACCCATTATTATACCCTGATCCCATTGAAAATGGGAAATCAGGGTATGATGGTTTTGCGCAAATGTATGTAACAGGCAGAAGGAGGCGTGGCAGACCCAATATATATTCTTGATCATTATGTGACGGCGTTTGCATCACTACCAAGCCAATAGAATATGTATATTATAGGCTGAACATTTTATTAAAATCCATTAAGTAGAACAGAAGTTATTAAACAAAACGTTTGGCCAATATGCAAAAGCACATGTCAGCAGCGCCACGCGCACGCATTTTTCTTATGCGTGTGCAAACATACATTCAAGTGCGTGTATTCTTTTCTATTCGAAGAATCGAAATTGTGATTGAATTGTGCTGAATTATTTGCTGCTACTTAACTTCAAATTTGCAACTACTTGATTAAGCAGTGCAGTGGTTGCGTTGGTAGAGGTGGCGTCCGTTGGCGGCTGGTCTTGGGATCAACCCTCGCGGCGATGGTACAGTTTTTATTGTTTTATTATTTTAATGTCCTTTTTTATTGGATTTTTTTGAATGCTCGATACAAACTACGGAAAACATTAATGAACGCAGATAGGACTGAGATCAGGGTATCTCCTAGTCGGGCACCCCGACTAGAGCTTTCTTACTTGTTTTTTTATTTTGGGCTGTATATATTTCACATTTTAAAGCTCTAGCTCTTATTTTTATATAAATATTTTATATGACATATCAGATATAATATTTCCAGACACGTTGTTAGTGGGCGTATTGAGAAAATCTCAATAACGCCAAAATGGTTTGCGTTCATACGGACGGATATTGCATAAAACCAACTTAATTCACTTCGTGAACGAGTATCACAATTAATCAATTTAATCCGATTCTGACAGTTGAAAAACAATTCAGCCGCAATTTCGATTCAATGAATGGAAAAGAATGCGTGCAATTGAATGCTTGGCGCCAATTGGCCAAAATAACTTTTGTATTGCTTAACGGATTTCACTTAAATTTTCTACATTTTATATTGGAATATTTTATACAAGTTCCAAACGAACTTAAATTTAAACATCTAAGGCAAATTTTAAGCCGGTATCTAAGATATAACAGATCAAAATTGTAGAAAATATATACAATACTCAATACAAAATTCTAGTCTAGATCTAATCCCATAGAAGATATATTTTATTAGCTGCATTTCTATCAGGTTTTTAATAAAACGGGATTATTTGAAACAATCATAATATGTGCATACTATACACAGACCTAGAAAAAATATCAAGTCTTCTACTCTTATAGGTGATGACATCGACGTGAATATATGATTTCCCATTTTTTATGGGTTCAGGGTATACAAATGTACTTGTATTTTTTGTATCAATTTCTAATTACTTATATGATTTGTTTTGTAATATTTTTAGGTATCACGAAAACAAGATGGTCAACTATGATGCTCAAGGGGGATTTGTTGTCACATCCGTTGCAGAAAATGCACTTCCTAGTGAAGAAAATGTACCGAGTTTTCAGTCGAAAGCAAGCGGCGGGAAAAGTAAGTCCTACCGAGGAACAATGGATTTTAATGCCAGCAGTGGTAATGCAACTAGCGATGCGGGCACGTCTATTTATACTTCACCCATGACTCCCTTTTCGACATTACAATTTCAACAATATAAATCTCCATATATTCCAAATTCATCGATGAGTGTGCTCACCATAAAAACGGTAACATTTCATCATGCTGGCAACTACACATGTGCACCATCAAATGCGCGACCAGCAAGCATTACAGTACATGTATTAAGAGGTGAGTAAATATAAATTAAATTAGTAAATATAAATAAAGATGACGTAACCATTATAATATTCAGGAGAGAAGCCAGCCGCAATGCAACATGCAAACCGTAGCATTCTTGATGGCGAAAATAATTCTAACACCACTGTCGGCTTGACCAGTTTAAAAGGATTCAATGGTACAAATAGTCTGATAACTGTACCATCACTATTTTTACCTGTTCTATGTCTGTTAGCTAATTTGCCTTCCGCATTTCAGTTACAAAAACAGACCCCAATAATATTATTTTTATTTATGTTATGTAATTTTAATAGCTGAAATTGTTCATAAATAGTAAAATCAGTCAATTGACTTTAGCAATTGTAATTTTAAGAATTGTATATACATAAATATAAACTTGCACGATTATAATATTAAGATATATAGCTACAATTCTGAAATGGACTGGCCTATAATCTACATGAATTAACAACATTTGTTGGCATTCTAAACCGGATACGCCGATGTAGACTTATAATAAAAATATTTCATTAGAAATCACATAACATGTAGTTTCCCTTAGTCAATATATTATTATATTATATATCTATTTATAAAAAAACGTCTTTTGGAGTTAGAGTCTCAGTATTTAAACTGTGATATAATTTAACAAGCTTACATACAAAATGGAATAATTATGATTTCCGTTAGTTCATGTGTAACATAACTCTGCTTTAAATTGAGTATATTCGTTCCAATTATTGTTAAAAACGTCATAATAAATATTTAGTACATTTTTATTATGGTGGTTAATATATTTGTGAATTAGTAATAATTTGTTAATAAGGAATGTTACTATAAGTTACAACCCCTCCAATAAAATTTAAATTTTTACGGTACATTCAAATGAAAGCTGTACATACAATAGATTTTAAGGATATTCTAATTAATCGATTGTTGAAAGATGTCCCCCTAAAAAAAGGACAAAAATATTAATTTATCTGTCAAAAATTAATATTAATTTTAAAAAATAGTTTTACTCTTATTTTTTAAAGAAATATTTCTTTACTTGTGGCGATGAGAACTTTTTTAATCTTTCTCAAATAGAGTGCGCTATAAATGTTTCCTCTTGTAAATAAATAATTTAATATATATAGGTATAAATGACATGTTGAAATTTAACAAATATATGCGCAAAATAAACTAAACATATATCATATATATTTTTAATCAGCTTCAAAAGCCAAATCGGTACAGCCATCAAATTTCTTATTTAATAATATGATATATTTTCAATTCACACAAAATTTCAAAACTTTCTGCGTCTATTAAATTTGTAACAATTATGAAGCTAAAGTAAATATAGTTCATATTGTTGTATACAATACATTTATAATTTTTCAAGATGAGCACAGAGGAATCAATATCATTTATGTTTTCTAATCTTGTACTGCATTGGGTTTTGGTCACCAGTATATTATGTAAAGGGATTCTACTGAAATGATTGTTAGTTTTTGGAGGCACATTTAAAGTTATTTATCAAACAGTTTTGTTTTTGATTTTAAGTTGGGGTAAATTAAGTGAAGTGTAATAAAAATCAAGGCACGTAACTGTTCTTATATATATGTGTACACAAGCATACTTTTCTATTCAATGAATCCCAATTGCGATTGAATTGTCAACCGCTACATTAGTTTAGATTTGCTATTTAGTTTCGAGGATCTTCATGCGGGGAATAAGTTTCATTTTGTTGAACCTTTTATAATTGTACGTACAGACATATATGCAGGTGTGCATGCATGTATGTGTTTTGTGTATTTAGGCATAGATACAAGCTATAGAGTATAAACGCAGATCGGTCACGGTTTCAGATTTCTTGCAGGTAACTAAAGCTTTTCTTTTACTTTTATTTGTAAAAATGTAGTAATAATACGCATTTCACGATTATTTGAATCAAACGTTAATATGGATATACCAACGTAAAATGTAAAAGCCGTAAAAAAAATACAGCTCTCACACCTTACCCATGCCTAGGTGGAAAATCGTTTAGTTTTTTTTTCAGTTTATATTATTATTTTATCCTGAGCCCATTAATAATGGAAATTCAGAGTATATTGGTTTTTTGAAAATGTATATAATAGGCAGAAGGAGGCGGGGGAGTATATATTTAATCAGAACGCTCAGCTCGGTCGATCTACCCGAACACGCGACATGTCCGTCCGTAAAAACGCAGCAATCTTGTAAACCAGAAAAACCAGAGACTTGAAATGTGAAATGTATGCTCGTGTCTTATCTTTTCATTCAATAACTCATTCCATTTCCTTATTGTTGATAAAAATCGGTAATTTAGCTATGCTTTTGAATCGTTATACACTTAAGCTTTAATACTGTAAACGTTGAAGACTTCAGATGTACTGTGTAATGAATGCAGAGATTTTATATATTTTAGATTTTGGATACCTCCCCCTTCCCACTAATTCCATAAAAAAGCTATTTCAAATACGAGAGCCTTGCTTTGGAAATACAAAGCACCATTTAAAAGAAAAGTTATTCAACAATTAAATTTGTATAGGAAACCCCATAAACGAAACGCATGCTTATGGCTGCATTCGTATGAGTGTTCATGTATTATTTGATATGTGTATAAAAGAAGCATATACTGCTTGTAATATTACCGCTTCGCAGGACTTAGATTAGAGCACTCTTATTTGATCCTGATCCCATTGAAAATGAAAAATTTGGGTATAATGGTTGTGGCATATGTATGTAACAGGATTAGGATGACAAGTCGACTTGATTGAGTCCGTCTGTCTGTCCGTATGTATGAACGCGGCGATCTCAGCATCTATAAGAGTTAGAGAAATGAAAAAACGAAACATGTAAGTCCGTGTGTAGCAAATATTCGATAATTATTCCTCTTTTATTGTTATCGATTAAAAACATTTTCCAGATGCAGTTATGAAATTATAATACGTACGGGTTAAGAGCTAGAGCCTCCAATGTTGTACATAGTTTAATGAGATTAGTTTAAGCTTGATATTTTCAACATCTGGCAGTGCAGTGGCGATACTGTGCTCAATCGTTATATTGTTTATTTTGAGCCATGTTGCACATTATATCGCAGGTAATTAATATTAAATCATTTGGTATACTTAATGAAAAACTTTTTATGTTATAACCCTATTTTCCTTCAGTTTCACCACTACATTTAATAAAAATATAGTGGTCTCTAATATAAAAATCGAATGCACAATTTTGTAGTATATCAGATTTTTTTTTAAACTTTGTGGAAATTGGGAGAACTACCCAAGACCCAAAATATACAAAGTACTCATGCAGCAAATCTGACATCTCCAGCTTTTATGGCATTCCTGATATTCTTAAAAACGAAATCAAATTACCATTTCATATCAATAATATAATAATTTATAGCAAACGAAAAAAGTAAAAGTTTGCTATTTATAGTTTTAAAGCAAAAGTCACGAAATTTGAAGGATGTCTGAAACAACATGATTTTTGAGTAAGGTTATAATTATGTTTAACGTGAAGCTTTGATATGTTTAATTTGTAATGTAACTTATGGATGTTAAAAGATGTGGATTAAGGTAGAGTGTAGATGCTTGATCCGCATGCAGGTCCACTGCTGTGCCAAAATTGTCCGCTTTCAAACCTAACCTTCGAGTACGATTCAAGCAGAACATGCGTAACCGCTTAGCTACTCCTGGCATTCTTGGCCAACATTAAATAAAAATCCCGAAATGTTCAATATCTTTGTTACCAATAAAATGTTTAATAACCTCAATAAGCTCTCCCTGCATTGAGTCCGATTTTGATAATATTCAACCCATTGTTATACCCGTTGTATACGTTTTACTCTTTACGCTAAAAGTAGGTAGAATATATTTTTTAATGTATGTAACAGATAAGAAAAAAATTCTCTATCGATCTAGCCATATCCCTTTGTCTGCCTGCTCGTATGTTAAACGCCATTTATTAAATTATATCTCTAATGTCCATGGAGCTAATCTAATTTTGATACTAGTTTGTGGTATATATTAAACAGTTTGAAAATTTTAAAATTAAAAATTTAAAAATATGTCAACTGCTACTTCATTAGCAGACTGGCGGTAGTGGTAGAGGCGATTTGTGTATTTGAGAAGACGTAGGTTCCATTCTAAAGATGGTTTTTTACATTTCCACAATTTAGTATGCCAAGTACATACATTTTTTATGCATGTATACACTACATACTACAAGCTTTTAAAATCGAACGCGGTTCACAGTTCTTATTTACCTTTATAGTTCTAGAAAGTACTCATAATGAATATACCCTTTTTATAGACTGCCTAAGTTAAAATCATCTTTTTGAAAATTCTTTGATAGTTGTTTTAATATTTCGAATTTTAAAATATAGATATACAAATAATGAACTATGGTCTTAAATTTATATTATTAGAGTTAAAATCTGTAATTATATTAGTCCTTTGATCTTCTTGGTCTTCCAACTTTTCCTTTCCGTTGTGCTAGTGTCCCATTAGAATTTGGGGGGTTTTTAAGCAACTTATGCCAATCTTGTTCACAAACCAGGCTAGCTCCCAACATTGTATACCTAAAGAATTGATGAAAATTGTATATGAATTAATACAATAGAACAGAAATTAAAAAAGTCTTATATAAGTATGGTATATTTATTTATTTCGAACTACCAACGTGTAATGCTGTTTTAGATTAAAATGTGGATGATTTGAGGATTCCTAATCTTATTACAACAGCACGTAACACAGAAGACCTTAACATAATATGATGTGCTACCGAATGTTTTTCATATAGCTTTAAGTTAATACAAATACAAGTTCAACTCACAATGTATGTGTTCAATTTATGTTGTGTATTGAGTTTATAAAGCTTATGGTGAATCGTGCAATTTTCCACTATATGTTTGCTGAAATTTCAGATATGTCGACGTACAGCATATAAAGCTCTTAATGGAGCAAAATGACGAGTTTGCGCTCCCAGTCAGCTTATAGTAATGCAGTCGCAGAGCAACTTCCTTGGTGATGAAAAAAGTGAACCGTTTGACCTGACCAGAGGCCATAATACTGAACTGATTTTGAATTGATTGCATAACCATTATCAACTCATTAAAATTAAAAAAAATTGAGTTGCCAATATGCTCTAATAAAACCGAGAAGTTACAATCACTTAGCGATTAACCCTTGTATATAAAAAAATCACTTTCTCATCGAGGCCAACTCCAGTAACATCTACAATTTGAACGCTAGATAGAACAATAAACAAATAACGAATAATAAAGAATAAAAGAACACTAGGCTCAACATGTTTATTATGTAAATTGTCACTCGTATTTAAAAAATTACTAAGCACACGCATATTGTCATGGTTTTTGAGGCTAAATTTATGTTGGCAATATATATATATATATATATATATATATATATATATATATATTTATATATATATATATATATATATATATAAATATATATTTCTTCGTGCACAGACGAATAAACAGAAATAGCAGAGTAACTTATCATTCGTCTTTTAATTTTCTGATGTATTTAAGGAATTAATATAATAATATAAGCATGCCAAAATTGCGAAAGACTAATTTACTGATGTAGTTTACCGTTTATTGTTCTTTCTATTTAAGGCCAAATAAAAGTTTTGTTTGTAACGCGCGCTTACCTATCACCAGGACGTAAATTAGATCCGCACTTTGCACAACTAAAGCATCTAAGATGAAATACACAGTTTATAATTTGTTTTTGTTGATTTTGTAAATCGATATTATTAATTCCAGTAAGAGCTTTTGCTACCATTTCACTTGGGGGTATAGTTTCCCCACATCCAGAACAAACACCAGAACTACCGAACATACTGTAAAATGGAATGACATAAAGAAAAGGGTTTTTTTAATGTTTTTAATCATTTATTAATTTAATCTTAAACTAAGCTACTTACTATTCATTGCGGATACTCTATATGCGTATCCCGTTGTCTATGTTAACTTAATTTTAGTTTTTTTTTTAAATCAAGAGATAAACAAGCCTTTCACAGTCTGTCTGTTGCAATGGATATATGTAATAAAAATAGTTTTTTGCTCGATATATATTTTTGATCTTGGTTTGTCAACGCGGGTATATCTTCCAAATCAAATCTCTAGCACTTTAATAGAGTTTTTGACAAATCAGATGTAGTATTTAAAGATTTACAAACAAAAGTCTTGTTTTTGTTTTAAAAAGTTAAAAATAAAATTATGCTATTTTGTATAGATAACATAGAGAATATGGAATTAAAAAACTGCAAAACAATTATGTTATCAACGTAAGTAAGTACTTCTACTAGCCTTAAAACGATTGCGCTTTTTGTGAATTAGACTATTTTATATATATTATGAACAATTAAGGATGCTCTCTTCGGAAAGCCCGACTAGGAGATACCATGATCTCAGTCCTATCTGCGTTTTTTAATATTTTCCATAGTTCATCTCGAGTATTAAAAATAATGTATACAAAGACATTACAACTGCAAGATTTGAACCCACATTGTATACGCAAACCGCATCAACTCTACCAACACTAACACTAGATAATTAAAAAAATAAACAAACAAAAAAATCAGCCTTTGCCGCCAGGCTCGAATCTAATCCAGAGATCGTCGCTTACGAGCGCCGCCTCTACCAACACCACCACTTCAATACCTGAGCGAGCAAATAGAAAAGATTACACGTATTTAAATGTATGTATGCACATGTATAGCAAAAATGTGTACACTTGGCGCTGCTTGACCAAACGTTTTGTTTAATAAATATGCTTGTATGATATACATATTTTATTGGATTAGTAAAAATGCAAGCACCTTCACTAATTGTCCATATTCCCAACTAATCTCAAATTTGAGGGATTTGAGGAAATCTGGAGCCGATATCCAAAATAAAACAAAATTGATGAATATATACATACAGCTAAATACAAAATTTGGAGGCTCTAGCTTTTAAGCCAGACGAGATATATTTCAATAATTGCATTTTGATCATATTTTTAATCGATAACAACAAAACGGGAATAGTTATCGATATTTGAAGCAAACTTATGCGCGTGCTATACACGGACCTACAGGTAGTTCTTATAGATGCTGAATCCACGCGGTCTCACATACGGACGTCCATGTGGACAGGGCGCCATCGACTCGGCGTGTCATCCTGATCAAGAATATATTTATAGGGTCTGACATGCCTCCTTCTGCCTGTTACAAACATTACCATTATACCCATTATACCATTATCAATGGGATTAGGGTATAAAATACATTTAAGAAACAATAAACCATCTGTTTTCCGGGACTTCTCATAAATATATTTGTTTTGTTTGCTTTTTATGTTGTTAGAAAAAAAAATAATTTTAATTAACTAGTTTGCCAAATAATTTAATAAGACAACTAAAATTGATATTCTAAAGCAAGAACGTCTTTTCTCTTTCGAAATATACAAAGGAAGTTTCCGTCCAAAGATCAAAATCGTAGCAAACCGTAAATTATTTTCACAATCCTTACTTTAAAAACTTTTTTTTTAAAAATGTCACAATTTAAGTTGCGACCCTTTTTAAACTTAGCACTCCATAAATTAAAATAATAAATTATTGTGTATGAGTGGAAAAGAATCTGAATTATAGTTTGCGTAATTAGCTTTAGCCTGACTTGACAATCTTTCCTTCCTAACGAAGTTCCCTTCTTAAATTATATTTTAACCAAATATTTTCTTTATACATTAATTAATTAATTAATCTATAAAATACATTTAGTAGAGAGTATAGCATTTAAGAGTAAATAGAGCGATTTCTATTTCAATGCGAAAGTCTCAACCATCTGAACTAGTTGCTTTTTTTTTTAACTTTTAGGCAAATTTTTTAAGGAATAGCGATAATCGCTAAAATTCATCATCTATTGTTCAGGCATGAACATACTGTAGTATATTTAATAACATATTCATAAGACCCGAAGCAACGTAGAGTATTCTGCATATAGATACGTCATATGCCTAACATATGATATGATGATAGTGTATACTAGATACGCATATAGTGACATTTGTCCCTACGCATAAACATAGGGCGAGCGCAAAGATAAACAAATGTAATATGATCAGCCACTTATGGTCAGACCACAGCAGCGCGGGAGATGCCGCGTACGCACTTTGCCTAAGGTCTATGCCGCTTGCCTAATGTTTATGCCATATGCATATAAGTATATACAAGCTATATATATGAAGCTACACAACGGGAGAGCATAGTATGTCTCCCGCTTGGAGCTCCACTCATTACATAATGTACTTAGGTTAAGAGATGAAATACGCATGAGCCAGGGTATAAGAACTCTTGCTCAGACGAATAAAGATTATTACACAACTGAACACCTTCGAGCCGGATCCACAAGGCTTCGTTTGAGATGTGTACACACATTTTTTGGTCCTTCGAGTAAAATCTACATGGCTTCGTTTGTGATGTGTACACACATTTTATGGTCCTTCGAGTAAAATCTACAAGGCCACGTTTGTGACAAGTGTGAAAGTGAAGTGAAAAATTGTTTAAATACTTTTTTGGCTTACCAATTCAAGCTGTGAGTAGACGCACAGCACAATCAACCAGGCGATCAAAACAAAAACACCTCCAACGGGTCAAGCCAAAGGGTAAATTAAGTTCAAATTTTCACACGAAAAAAAAAACAATCAAAATGCTGTCGGCAAAAACTCTGGAGTTGCTCAAAAAGCAATCAGAGATCTATGACAAGATCCGGCAGAGCATCACGAACAAGGATGCGTTACCAGCAATTGATAGATTGGCAGCAGAGTTTACTGCCAATCATCTAACACTGGTCAAAATCGGTGTCATCGATCATCAATATTTTAAGGAAAAAATATATGATGGCACAATGGAAAACATCAGGAACTATGAGGAGTCTCTGATGAAAGTCGAAGTTGCCGACCACGCCATAGACACCGACGAAACAGCATCCATACAACCAAAGACATCCAAGGCACAACACAGGCAGCAGGAAATAATATTTTCCCAAAGAAGCTCGAGCCAAATGGATGTGCTGGTTGACCTTGTGGACAAACGAGCTCTAAAAGTAAGGCAACACATGCAAGAAGTGTATGCCAATCTAGAGCTCAGCAGCCAGGAAGGAATCCTTGACTATAAAGACAAGTTGATTTTCCTGTGGAACAAAGTCCAGTCAACGCTCACGGATTTAGAGGCAAAATACGAAAAATTTGCCTTCGACATCGATGAGATAGATGAGCTGGAATGCAATGTCAGCATACTCACAAAAAAACTAAACAGAAGTGTAGGTGACTTGCAAAATATAAAAGAAACGTTCCAGAGCTACCGAAAGTGGATCTTCCTCACTTCAATGGAAGTCCCAAAGAGTGGCCCACGTTCTTCGAGTTATTCTCTGAGGTGATTCACAACAGGAGAGATATCAGCGACACAAGGAAGCTGAATTACCTGAAGTCTTGCCTTAAGGGAGAAGCCAAAATGGTCGTAGGCCATTTATTAATTGGCTCGTCTGCTAACTACAACTCGGCTTGGGAACTAATATGCAAGCGCTACGAAAATAAGCGCAAAATATTTGCTAACGCCGTCAACCAGCTAGTGGACATGGAACTGCTGAAGAACAATGATGAAGGCAGTATCCTCAAGTTCTTGGACAAAGCAACAGAATGCATTTTCATTATCAAAGAAAAGGGTCAATTTGGTAATGAAGCTGACGTTCCAATAGCTCAAATTCTGTTGCGACGATTCTCTACGGAAATCCTACAAATTTACGAACAACACGTAAAAAAGGCCAGAGAAATTCAGTCCTTGGACGATGTACTAGAGTTTATTGAGCAACTGTATAACTCAATAGACTCAGTGCAAAAAAGCGCCGCCCGTACGTCAAGGGAAGCAAAGACAACGAGCCACGAGAGATGCCGTTTTTGCCAATTAACGGGACACTAGGTGTCAGGAATTTAGAGCTGAGCCGGTTAAAAAACGCAAGGAGTTTGTGTTCAAAAACTCGCTTTGCTACAAATGTCTAGGCAGCCACAGCGTTAAAGATTGCAAAAAGAATTGGACTTGCAATCAATGCACCAAAGCACACAACAATTTGCTTCACGAGGAAGCAAATAAAAATGAGACCGTCAGCAGCAACTGTCTAAATGAAAGGACAAGATACGTTGCTGGCGACAGCGCTCATCCAGATTAAAAATAAGTCTGGAAAATACCCTAATATCTGAAGAAGCTGCACAACAGTTAAAACTGCGCCGAACTAACCGGAACGTGGAAGTTCAAGGAATTTCGCATAATATAGAAGTCCTTAAAAATAGTGTTTGCTTAACAATCAAACCCCGGTTTAAAAGCAAATTCATCACCACAACGCAGGCACTTGTTATGCCAAAACTTAAGAGAGCTCTTCCGACCAAGAAAATTGGCATGGATGTCAATAAGGATTGGATGGGCTGCGAGCTAGCTGACCCACATTTTAACGAGCCCAGTCGAATTGACGTTGTCATTGGCGTTGATTTACTTCCCTTAATAATGTTGGGAAAAGTAAAGAAAATCAACGAAACCCTGGGACAAAAGACCGAACTTGGGTGGATTGTCTCTGGCAATATATCTGGATTATCAACCAATAAGGTAATCAGCGCATCAACAACGATGTGCCTGGACGTCCCAGAGAACTCTGGGAAGCATCGAAAAATTGGGTTGCTATACAGACGGAGACGCAGGCCACGGATTAAGAAGAGAAACCAGAGGCAGAAACTGCTAGCTGTCACATTTGGCCCCCCGCAGAATGTTCAGGCATGAACATACTGTAGTATATTTAATAACATATTCATA